TTTTGTTTTGGGCTGGGCGGTGGTGGCGCACACCTTTTGTCTCAGCACTTGGGAGGCAGAGGCAGGAGGATCTCTGTGAGTTTGAGACCAGCCTGGTCTACAAGAGCTAGTTCCAGAACAGCCTCCAAAGCCACAGAGAAACCCTGTCTCAAAACCCCCTCACCCCCCAAAAAAGAAACAGATGAATGAATTTTAGGAGACCCATAAACTAGAATACTGTTGAGTAGCTGTATATGTTTCACATACCTGTATCAAAATATATTACTCTAAAAGTGTAATTTAGGATCTATGTAAGAATGCATATGTACAGTATGAGGTCATTACATGAAGTTTACACACACTATTATGTTATGGATGCAAAATATAGAGAGATATGACATGCAGTGGCACAGTAATTATAAAGTTCAATGAAATGTTTGCTTCTGGGAAAGGAAGAGGTAAAGGATTATCTGTGACAGGATGGGTGTGTGTGGAATGTTTTACAAGATGTCTACACTGTTCTGTTGGGTTACTAGGATGCTGTGTTCTCTTCTGTAGCTGCTCCTCTGTCCCATTTCTGAATAGCATCTATGGATATACTGGGTAACTCTGCCCTGTGCTTCCCACATTGGTGTGTCTCACCCACCTTGGTGGGAAGAATGAGGGTGGCAGGCCGGGCAGCCACACAGGTCAGTGTGCAGAGTGTAGCAGACTAGGTAATCTGGAACTTAATTTTATACATTAGAGGTTATGGTTTTGCTAAGCTAATAAAAGTATTTGCAGAAAGGAGGAATATTTGATGTTGTAGTGTTTGCACTGATCTGTCTGCTATGACTTATCTTAATTCATCTGGACCATTTAAGCATTTTTATCCTTTATTTTTCCAGGACAATTAGAGACTCTATAGATATGCAAATCCACAGGTCTCATAATGGGCAATTCTGGCTTTTGAAGGACATAAAATTTAAAAGTAATCTTGTAAGTAGCCTTCCTTATTCCATTTCTCTCTTCCTTCTCGACTTCTCTGTTTTAGCAGTTTTTCTCTCATCAGCTCTTTCCACAGTATTCTGCTTCCTTCTACAGACAGGTCACACATGCACACTTACAAAAGCTAACCCTGAAAACTGAATGCACACATAACTTAGTCCACAGCCCCTCATGGTGAGGCTCTGGCACTGGCGTCCATGATGTCCTGATTCCTTTATGCTCCTCAGCACATTTGTGGTGGACGTTTGTGCTGGTCGTTTAAACATTACCATGTCAAAAACATCAGTGCACTTCTCAATCCACTTGCACAAGAGTCACTTGTGACCTTTCAAATATAATGCCACCCCCAGCTTCTGAGTCCCTACTAGAAGAGTATCAACACTTATTTGTCAGACAAAATGAAGCACCATTAGAAAACAAGACAGAACAAACAAAAACAAACTTAGCTCCAACACGGACAAGGGAATCAGCTTTCTTCCACACATCTATGACTGTGGCTAAAGCAGAAGACAATAAAGATTTCTCTCACATATTTATTCTTGATGTAAGATAGTTTGGACAGGTGACATTTCTTATTCAAGAATTAATTTTGTTAATTTCTTTTATTGGATAAATGTATCAATCATAGGTCAGAACAAAGGATCAACAACTTTACTCAAAATTACATGTAAAGTGCTATGTTTGTTTCAGTGGTTTCTTACATATGCAGACAGTTCTAACAAAGCTGGGGACTGCTAGCCTTGCTTGCCTGTGCGAATGTCCTGGGTGCAGACCGATTCAGAGAATGGGGAGGTAAGTCAGGCGGGATTTGAGCACAAGCACCACCCTCTAGGTGGGTGAACAGCATGAGCCAAGTGAGGCCAGATCTTCCTGTAGTTTGATAACAGCCGTTTTTCTGAGTGTTCACTATGTGTCAGGCTGAATATCTAAGTGTGCTTCACATACTGACAGTTAATAACAGTGTCACCAAGTATGCGGGCAAAATTATTTGTGTGTGTCATTGCCTTTAGACAAGCTGCCTTCTGTGGGCCTGTTTGCCCATAAAGAAGTAGGTAAGAACACTGTCCTGTGCACAATGGGGATGCTTATGTGCACTTGTACACATGGACACTCACTCACTCACTCACTCACTCACTCACTCACTCATTCACTCACACACACATGTGCTCAAATTCTTTTGTCTTGTGAAAGACAAGTTGCTGAATGTGTCTGTAGTTGACAGGGTCTTCTTCAAGCACTGCCTTTGCCCTCCGTGGCTTCTGGTAAGTGGATCTTAGCGGGGTTCCGTGTGAGTGATGCATTATCCTTCTCAAAACTTGTCTTTCAGCAGCGTCTCTATGATTATGTTTGGGAATGCATGCATGTAGTTGCTGTGTGTGGGACTTCTTAGATGCGTTTTCAGCGGCTTTCCCCTTTGGATCTTTCCTTTCTCACATTCATGACATGCACCTCGTTGAGCTCACAGGCATTACCTCTGAGACCCTGCTCATCCATTTTCTCTCTGTACTATGTGTGTGCTGCACAGATGTGTGGCAGAGTACATGTGTTCAGATGTGTGAAGGCTAGGCTCCTCCACCTTGTTTTTCAGGGCAAAGTCTCTCAACGGAAGGCTGGGCGGACTGGCTATCCAGTCCCAGGGATCTGCCTCCCCAGATTACAAACAAAAGACATTATATGTTGTTTTTCTACACAGATTCTGAGGATTGAACTCTGGCCTCCTTGCTTATGCACCAAGCACCTACTGATCCACCTCCCAAACTCTAAGTATTATTTTTATACAGAAAAAGGGGGATGAAATATAAGTTTAAAAAATGATTGCATGTGCGAGGTGGTGGGGTGGCACGCACCTTTAATCCCAGCACTTGGGAGGCAGAGGCAGGCAGAGCTCTGTGAGTTCGAGGCCAGTCTGGTTTCCGGAGATACCTCAAGAACAGCCAGTGCTGTTACAGAGAGAAATGCCATCTCAAAAAACAGCAACAAAACAAAACAAAAAAGGACTGCATGAGACTCAGTTTGGTGGGCTAGCTTGACGGCTGAGTGGGCAAGGGTGCTTGCTGAGCAATCACAAAGTCCTGGGCTTGGATCCCCAGCACCCACATAAATGTCTGAATATGGCTGTGTGTACCTGTAACCCTAGTGCTCAGTCTTTCTAGGCATCAGCCCAGCAGGAAAATGGCAAGCTCCAGGTGAGTGAGAGACTGTTTCAAAGGAGTAAGACAGAAGCTCCAAAAATAATCACTTTGGTGAGACTGAGAGATGCCTGTAACTTTATGGTACCTCCCTTTAAAATGCTACAGTGCCTATTTATTACTCAAGCATCCGTGTTTAGAATGTTGTTGAGAGATCAAGTGGCCATGACTACAGTTTATTTAAAATGCCACTCTATTTATAACTTGAGCTGATTTCAGAGGTTTCAGCAGAGCTCACTTGGTGTTGGCCTACATGGAACTGAACTGGTGTCTTTGTCTGAGTAACAGACAGATTGGCCTTGAGAACCCATCGTGAGATAAGGAGAATCTAGCAGAGCTGAAAGACAGTGCTGCCATGCTGGGACAGTTCAGACCTCCAGTGAGACACAGCTTGGTGTCATTTCCTCTAATCATCGTACTGTTTGGGACACTAAGGTAGTAAGGAAGATTGGGTCTGTTCTTTGGGGCTCACACTTTATATCAGGAGCCATTGCAAATCGACAAGTAAGCAATGTATCAGAGCCATAATGTCAGACACCTGTAGAAACAAACTATTATGGCTCAGGAGTATTGTTTTACATTGGGCAGTGGAAAGGATTCCCATGAGGAAGTTACATCTAACCCAAAATGTGGTTTATAAGACAGCTTTGCAAACAATAGGAATAGCTCCTATGGAAGCAAAAATGCACTAACTCATTGGGAAGAGCAGGTGGCTGGGATGTGGTCAGTAAGAACCAAGAGCAGTGTGGGGTCAGTGAGTGGAAACTACAGGAAAATATCTGTGGAGGATGATTCTGGCTGAGGACAAGCCAGGTGGCCAAACACCACCTGCAGAACTAGGACCTTCATCATCCATGGATGGTAATCACATAGTGGGCAGTGTGGGAGGGGTCATTCTAATTGCAAACTAACTTAGCAGATGGGCTAGGGGACAGTTCTGACAAAATGGCCAAGCAAAGACTCTTCCTAAATGCATGCACACACACACTCATGTATGCACACATGTACCTTAGAAATTCAAATTACATATTCAATAAACTTTCACCTTAAAGAATCTGAAAATACCTTTCAAACAAATAATATCAATATCCTCTATTGTTAGAGGATATTTATGGCGATATTGTTATAACCCAGAAATTACTGTATTAATTATTTACACCTATTAATTTACTCACTCCTAATAATTTTGTAACATTGTCCCAGGATTAGCTTCCTCTATAGACCAGATTTTAGGGAGATTGGATGAGCTAACCCATTGGAATTGGGCTGGTTAGACAACCCAGTGCCTCTGGCCTGGGAGATGCCTAACAGTTACTCAATGATATCTAGAGGTTGGCTGACGAATTATTGCCAGGTTTGGAGAGAAAAGACTTTTTAATGTTTACTTACATTTGCCATTAGAAAAAAAAATGACAAGTCTCAGCCTCAGATTCCAAAACAATTATATACCTCACAATTCCTGACCAAACATTCCAGAGAAAAGTAACAAACACAATGAAGAAATTGTGCAGTTGGCCAGATTGTCTTTCATGTGCTGTTTTCACTCATTCCTGTTAGTGGGGATCAAACCTAGATTCTGCTGTGCACTCCAGGTTAGTGTTCTACTATGAAGCCAGTGCCCAGACCCTCTGTAGTATTTCAACCCTTAAATGTTTTGCTAACTGTCCTGAGACAGGAAAATTTCAGTTTCCAGAGTGATGGGCTGTGCCTCCACACTCAAATGATAACTGCAAAACCTCAGAATTTCACCTTGCAACACAGCTAATTTTCCAGAGAAATATGTAGACTGTAGACAACTCCAGACTTCTCAGACATCAGAATGAGCCAGATCGAGGGACCTTCCCCACAGTTTTTTGTCATTGCCATTTATTTCAATTAAAGAAGTGAAAACTCAGATTTAATGTAAGGAAATCCTTAAAGTACTTGGCAGAAGAAATGCCTGTCCATGTATCACAGACAGACACAAAATAACAAAACATATTCTGTATAGAGTCAGATTGTAATAAAGTCTGGTTTGTTAGCATCAATCAGTAGTTCAGTCCCCTTGGGGGAGAAGCAACGTGCACATTATCGTCAGTAAAATCCAAAGAGCAGGTTTCCTTCTTATTACAATGACCACAACAGGAGGTAACCATAAGGTGTGAGACTCACATATCCTGTAGTAACAAACACTTAAAAAAAATAAATATGGTATAGGCTTTTTCCACAGTATCAAATCAACTGAAAAGCATATATATAAAACAAGATTTCCAGATATTAAAAACATAATTATCAAATAATTGAGTTCCATATAGCAAGTAAAAGATATACTAAAATTGTAAATTTTTTGTGTGAATTGAGTGTAAGACTTGAGCTTTTCTTTTGAAACTGCTGTCCTGCTACATAGTATCAAGGCCTGTTCTCTGAATAATTTGAAGATGTGAACCACAAGGCAAAGGAAAACTAAAGTAGAAATCATGTGCACCTTATGGTTTTCAGAGACTTATAAATAATCTCCAAACACATAATTTTTTTTTTTATTTAGTGTGTGCTTACATTTCCCTGGGTATGCTATAGACATGGTTAGAAAAAATTAAAACCTGATTTATAACATAGTTATTTTATTTTTCTTGAATGTATGAAATTTCCAGCTATCTAATCTATCTGGAAATTGATTTTTAAGGGGTTGTCGAAATGGTTTAGAGAGTGGATGGATTGGAGAACCGTACAAGTGACTGCACAGGGCTGAAGTGACTCTACCCTACCCTGTCACTGGCTTCACAGAGGAGAAGCTAATGACCAGTCATTCAGGGTCAGAGGACCAACAGAGAAGCATGAGAAACTGAAAGAAACAAAGGCTTGACTAACACTGTGCTTTCTACACAGTAACTTGAAAAGATGAATCCTTCTGGATCAACATGATACTGGAATAACCTCACCTTGAAACTCTATTAGTACAGCTTCCAGATCTGTCACTCCTTAAAATTCACACCATCTTAAATTAGCATCACTGGACATTTCATCATACAACACCTAACACTGGACAGCCCTCAAAAGACATGGTGATGAGCATACATGCACAGTAACACTACCAATCATATCCCTAAATTTCTTAAGGCCTTACCAAAACTCAGTCATTTGACAATCTAGGCCTCTTCTCTTTCAAATAAACAAAGGGTAACAAATATTAGGAATCTTAACAATGTAAAGTTTGTAGCTATTTTCTACACAGCCTACAACTATACAAAGAGAAATTTATATAAAAATTTATATTTACAATTAATTTTAATGAAGCCTAACTATATATTTGTGTCAGCATGATTTTGTGGTTTGCAGGAATAACTAGTAAAACACCTAGAAGTCATTGTTTTGAAGGTCTTCAGTAAATGAACAATTTCAGATGTCCAGGAGTGTGCCTTCTCTCTTTTTATATTTTAGGGTGCTTTATGCAGGACGCCCTTGGCCAAAACGACTTTTAGACCTAGATTTTTTAAACAGAAAAGAAAGTCAGACTGACTCTGGAAGAGAAGATTGTTGCTGCCTTGTTTGTCTGCTTGACAACATCAACATTCAGTGAAACTGTGCTGCTCATCAAGCATCTTCTAAACCCCCTGAAGTGAGATGCAATCTGGAATGCAGATTGTTTTTGAGAGAGACTATAGTATGTACACTGCATATACAGGTCAGGACCAGTACTGTAATGAAAAACATTACAATTTCTTTGGGGAAACAAATGAACATTTAGAATGTGAGAAAAGTAAAAACTATAGCTATAATTATAGCAGTTCTAGATGAACTCAGCACAATGACAAAAAGGCTGATATTGTAGCTTTGTGGATTTCAGGGTTACAGACTGGGCACATTAGCATCTCTGACACTTGTGTTCACATCTCAGTACCTTAAGTCCTAATGTAAAACAGCATAAGACTTACCAGTTAATTCTTTAAGGGAAGTAAGGTGTTACTGTACTCAGGGGCTTTCTGGTAAAGAGAGAGATATACCATTGCCTCCCTTTGATATACCATTGCTTCCCTTTAAAAGGGTCAATTGAACCAGGTCTGCCAACCATTTGGACAGAATAAACTCTTAGGACAGTCGATTGTTGAAGAGACTTTAAAATAACGCAAAGCCTACTTCAAATGCTGATGAACACAGTGTTCTCTTTGGTCACTGGTCACTTTCATAGCTTGAGAATATACTACCAGAGGGGACGAGAGAGATTAACAAGGAACAGGAAAGATCCAAAGATGTTCCTAAAGTAATGCTATCACACAATCTACACATTGTATGACAATTTTGCCAGCTCATAGTTGCACTGAGGCTATTACCACTAGTACAATATTATTATTATTACTATTATTTTATTATTATTATTTGGTGTTAGAGGTCACATGTTGGGCCCTGAGTGGGTTAAGAGAGCTTTTTAGCTTTGGGCTGTATACCACAACCCCTGCAGCATTCATTTTTATCAGCTGACTCTAATGGAGCTGGCTCAATAAATAGAAAACTTAAAAAAATACCAAACTTAGCTGGGCGTTGGTGGCACACGCCTTTAATCCCAGCACGCCGGAGGCAGAGGCAGAGTCAGAGGCAGAGGCAGGCAGATCTCTGTGAGTGCAATGCCAGCCTGGCCTCCAGAGCGAGTGCCAGGATAGGCTCCAAAGCTACACAGAGAAACCCTGTCTCGAAAAACCAAAAAAAAAAAAAAAAAAAGAAAACCAAACTTTTTATGTTTATGAAAGTTCATATTCATGACTTGTTAAAATCAGTGCTGGTTTGATGAAATAAGAGACTGAAGTCATACTATGTGCTTTAGTGTTCACATGGTTTACTCTGCAGAGCCAGAGGCATTCTGCTGCTTCCTGTAGATTTACCTGGGGTTTTTGTCTGAGCTGTTCTGCCGGGCACTGCCAGGTGCAGAGGCTTTGACTTGTGCTTCAAGCCTAGAATAAATACCTCCTGCAAACTGTGGGATAAAGAAGCAAAATTAAGTCAAATAAAGACTGACCCCCCAACAAGATATACATCCAAGTTTAGAAAGTAATTTTATTTTTTATCTAGATCTATAAAGGTTGGGCTTTTTAGTGCACAGCTCTGGGTGTGACGAATGCACAGGCACAGAGCTGGCTCTTGTCTGGCACTGGACTCTGAGTGCAGTTCTTAGCCACTACTTTTATTTGTTTTTAATATGTATACTTTATTTGCTAACTCCAAACTCCTCTCACCCTTAGAGAAGGTCTTATATAGACTGGTGTTGAATTTGTGACCCTTCTGCTCCATTTGAGTATGGGGACTGCACCACCACATCTGGCTTATTTGTGCTGGGGCCATAAGCATGTTGGGTGAGCATTCTATAAACTGAATTACATCCTCAGCAACCAAAACCCCTTAAGTCTGAGGATTCTTTGAAAGAAAAGGGTTTATTGAGCTGTTACAGATATCGGAGAAAAAAGAAAGGGCATGTCCTGGGGCACAGCTCCATAACTAGTGAGACTACTGAGCAGTTGGGAAAATGCCCACTAAGCCCGGGGAGTAGGAAGGTTCAATGTGACCGTACTCTGGCCTCATCCTCCTGAGTGCTGAGACTAGAGGTGTGCACCATACACCTTGTTTTGAGTTAAGTTTCCTCTACCTCTTTTCTAGCCCATTTAAATTCAGGAAATCTCAGAATATTTCTTGTCACATTTACTAGGTAAAGGACATCATCTGGGGGACTTTCTAGTTTTTCTCAATTATGAATAATGACACTATAAATGCACTGCATTTATGAAAAACTGCCAAACTATTTCCCACAACTCCTACAAGCCATCTATGAAAATTCCATTTGCTTTACATCCTCACAAGCACCTGAACAAAAATTTCAGAACTTTTAGAAGCAGCATCTCATTGAGACATTAACCTGTATCTCTAATGACTGATGATGCTGCATTTTTCATGCTTTCTTGCTACCTGCATCCTTTCTTTCGGGATGTTTGGCTAACCCTCTGCTTGGTTTCTTTACTTATTACTACTTTAAATTACTTTGTTATTTTGTGTGCATGGGTGTTTTGCCTGCATACCTCCATACCAGATGTGCAGTGCCCTTGGAGACCAGAAGAGGCACTTGGATCCTCTGGGACTGGAGTTACAGAGGGTTGTGAGCAGGTATGTGGGTGCTGGGAATCGAATATGGGTGCTTATGAGTCCTCTCCAAGAGCAGCCAGTGCCTCTAAGTGCTGTGCCACCTCTCCAGTCTCTATTGTTTTATTTTGAGATGGTCTCACAGAGATCTGCCTCTGCCTCCCTAGTGCTGGGATTAAAGGCTTGTGCCATTACTGCCTGGCTACTGAGTTTTTTTGAGATTATAATTTTATTACAACATTCCTCTCCCCTTCCTTTTCCACAAACCTTTTCATCAGACAAATGTTTTACACAGTTTATTACCGAATATGCAATGTCTTTTTTTTGGGGGGTGGTTTCAAGACTGGTTTCTCTGTGTAACAGTCCTGGCTATCCTGGAACTTGCTTTGTAGACCAGGCTGGCCCCCAAACTATGAACTGCCTTTTAATTCTTTCCCTTTTTCTGAGACAGGGTATCACTAAATAGTTCTGCTTAGCTCATCACATAGTTTAGCTGTCTTTTGATTCTCTTTACAGTGCTTTTAAAGAAGAACTTTAAGTTTTCATGAATTCTAATTTTCTTTTGTGGATTCTACTTTAGTGTTGAAGCTAAGAAATTAAAAATTAATGAACATTTAATAATTACAGGTCCTTTCACTAAGGAAGTTTCATCTAACTGAAGGTCTCAGCTGTTTTCCTTTGCAAATTTTATGGGTAACTGAATTTTTCTTTTATTTGTGCCACCCTGTCCTGTTACCATTTATTTCATTTTACTTTTGCTGTTGGTGACTGATTTAGGGCCTTGTGCTCCAATGAGGAAGTAAAAACATACAAAACAGATTAGGGTAGGAGCTATGGTGCATTTATAGTGCAGATACTGATGATACATAATGCTATGACTGACAGTAATTCTTGTGGGAGCACAAGTGTGGTATGGTCCTGGTTTTCAGCAAGACAGGTAATACATACAAAGATACAGCACTTTCTTCACAGTCACTTGGCCAACAATGCACAGCCAACCTACTCTTGGTGACCCTATAAGTATAATATGCTTTATCATGTATGATGCAGAGACCCTATGGACCACAGATAGTGGACGATGACAGAAAACTTGTAGGTGAATTTTGGCTAATTGGCACAGAATATAACAGCATCTAAGATGCTCCTTCAACACCCTTTTAAAAACATCTCTATATTTTTCATGCTAAAAATAAAACAAGAAAGGAGCACTTCACCCAAGTATAGTATAATAGTTGTGGTGGTGTGAATGAAAATGGCCCCAATAGGCTCCTAGGGAGTGGCACCATTAGGAGGTATGATCTTACTTGATGGAGGAAGTGTGTCACTGGGTATGGCCTTTGAGGTTTTGTTCAACACAGGATCAATGTCACTCTCTTTTGCTGCAGATGCAGATGTAGAACTCTCAGCTACCTTTCCAACACTGTAGTCTGCCTGCATGCCTCCACGGTTCCCCATCATGATGATAATGGACTAAACCTCTGAACTGAGTCCCAATGAAATGTTTTCCTTTTTAAGAGTTGCCATGGTCATGGTGTCTCTTCACAGCAATAGAAACACTAAGATTACAGTTAACTATTTTTCATGATGAAATAAAACTAGAAAGGAAAATTTTACTTAAGTATAGCACACTGGTAAATAATTCTTACTTCTTTTGATTCCTTTGACTTGACTCGGTCCAGATCACCCAATCTCATCTTTATTAGATGCCCTGTAATTTCAGACATCCGCCGCTGATCTGAAGGTAAAAAAATAAGAGCATTACTTTTCATGAAAATAACATAGTTTTCATTTTTCTAGAAAGACTAATCAACAAAGGTATATGAAAATATCTTTATTTATTTCAGGTAATACTTCTACATATCTGTGAAGAATTTAAGGTAGCATTAGCAAATGGCTACTATGTAGACAGCTGTATTGCCTTTCAGATTCCTGGATGTGGTTGAGCATGTCCCCCAAAGGATTGTGTGGTACAAGGCTGACCCCTACTGTGGTGCTGGAACCTTTAAGAGCTGGGGTCTGGTGTGACCCTGTTTAATTCCTGTAAGGCTAAGTTGACACAAAAATAACCTCTTTTGCTTCCTTTTTTTGACATGTGACGCCTTTCCTCCTAAACATGCTCCCTATAATGCCATTCACCATGCTGGTACTGTAGCCAGAAGGCTTTCACCAGAGCCAAGGATATACTTACTGCTACTGCAAAACTGTAAGTTAAATAAACTTCTTTTCTTTATAAAATACTCAACTTTGAGTATTTTGTTGTAAGAACACAAGGTTAAAACACAGTCTAAAATACATTTAGTCATTTTTACAGTAAAATATTACATAAAAACAAGTCCAAGAGCCCTGTGCATAAACAATACACTGCCCACTGCATGAACTCATGATGAAACTCTGCTTGGTGCCAAGAGAACGCGCACATGTGTGTTCTTATTCTGGAGCCTTTACAACTCTTGAGCATACTTTATAAAGAACAGTTCTTAGGGCCAGAGAAATGGTTGAGTGGTTAAGAGTACAAACTCTTCTCCAAGAGGAACCAAGTTTGGTTCCCAGCACCCATATCAAGCCCGTATCAGGCAGCTCACAACTACCTGTAACTCCAGCCCCAAAAGACACCCTCTTCTGGCCTCTAACAGTACCTGCACTCACCTGCACTTGCCACCCCCAGATAAATACATGGTAATAAAAACACTGTTACTTATACCTAACTTGTATGTTACCCAGATAATAAGATTTACCATCTTCTCTTTGCGCATCCTGGTTGAATCTCAAGGATCTTGAGGCATCCCACTTATTCTTCTGCACGCTCACACTATTGAATAAATTGAACAAAAACAAGCATTGATGCTGTTTTAAGAGCACACTTCCCATACAGATCCTGTCACAAAACCAAGAGCCAACCAAAGAATGGCTTTCCAATCGGATCAAGGAACAAATACTCACACGAAAGGAGACATATCTCTAGAAGTTGACTAAAAGATAAAGAAGACAACATTAATATCTAGTTAGAACATATTTACTGACTAGTGTTTTCACTAATTAGAAGGATAATTTACATTTATTGAGTACAAGATACTACACCAAGAGCATCTAAAACTGGTATCCCATTTAAGCCTTGTAGCAACAGCTGGGAGTGGTGGTGCCCAACCTTTATTCCCATCAGGGGCACAGGGCCCCATGAGATGAAGGCCAGCCTGGCCAACATAGTGAGTTTCAGGTGAGCCAGGGTTCATAGTAAGATCTTGTCTTAATAAATAAATAAAAACAAATACGTTTTACACCAACAAGGTCTATGAGAGTGAAACAAGCACTATATGACTTTCATAGTAAAACAGGTTCAGAGAGGTTAAGAAACTTTGACAAAGAGAAAAAATAGACTTGAACTTGGAACTTAAGCCTATGCAATCTTAAAAAATCAACCCATCCATACATCTGTAGTTCTTAATTAACTAAGATGAATGTGCAATCCATCCAATGTAACTAGGGATCTAATCTTAGAACTAGCCTTTCATTCAGTTTTGGAATTCAGAGATTCTTTTTAATTACCTACAGCTACTACTATTCTTTCAGTTCTGGAATTTTATCTCTTCTATGGCACAGGAAAATAAAAGCAAATTTTTAGGTTAGTTATATTTTACAGAATATAACTCAATTTTGAAAGTCTATTTACTGTTTATAAATATGTACTACTGGTTAAAATTAACAAATCTGAATAGCATATGTAATGAAAAGGGTCAATTAAAAGGAGCAATTAATCTGAAAACCAATTGTGTGTGCAGCTCTACATGGAGGGTTTATGCACATGGAAGAAAATCTGTGTACATCCTATCTCTTTACAGGAGGGATGGCATACTCCTGTAAAATGGCATGGCAAAATAAGCCATGCATTGTTTTGCATCTTCCAATGGTCCCTATATCTTCTAGATCTTCATTCATTTACATTACTAGCATCCCCATGTTATTCATTACTCTATTTGGATTTGTAGCTTGTCTACTTCTTAAGTGAACTTTAAAACTGTATCAGGTCATTCAGTTACCTTCTCCGGTGCCTTTTCTTTCTTTTGAGAACAGGGTGAAGACAGCTGCTTTTTGGGTTGCTTAGTAAACTTCTTTGGCTTTTCCTTTTTCCCTAATAAAGGACAATATTAGGAACATGAGTTCCATACCCCCACCAATGTCACTGATACATCTAAATGAAACAACGTTTAACCAACAATTCTATTTTTAAGAAAAAAAATGACTATCACCGAGAAGAAAATGCAATTTGAGAATAAGGGACAGAGACAGAGCATCAATACATGTGCAAAAGCTTCAAAATGAATTTGTTCAGGAAGGCTACAAGGCAGGAATGATCTTGGGAAGCAGGGCTGGGACAAATTATATTCTGGATGGTGGCCTTCTTAAGTCAATATCCTGAGTCTGTTCTGGCCAAGAGTAAGGTGGAATCTGGATAGGGCAAGAAAAGGGGGAGAACTAGACTCCAAAGACAAAGGATAAAGGCAAGAAGGATGTACTGGGCAACTCTCCCACAGTTCTTTGGGTATTATCCCAAGTTTGCTCTGACATTTTCTAAGAGAAACTTTGTCACAACTGTGCATGGGAAACGTGTAAGATATGATGCATATATGATGAGCTTGAAGATACTACTGTAGGAAGCAGTAAAATCAATAATACAGATCAAGAATTATAATTTTCTAGAAGACATAATAGGATATATGGTAATGGCAGAGGACGGGTGTGGACAATTCCTTTTAAGTTAAGTGATACCAATACAATAAAAATCTTATCAAAACTATCTGCTAGTACTGGAGAATAATTAAAGCTAGGTACAGAGTTAGGCAATTTATACGTGAAAACTTGTTGAGGTAAGAACTGTTAATTTGAGGTCCTCTAGACCAAAGGACTATTCCCACAGGGGAGAAACTAACCCTGACCAACCCCAGAAAGGAAATGACATAGTGCAAAGCAACAGAAAAGCTGCCAAAACTGGGCGGTGGTGGCGTACGCCTTTAATCCCAGCACTTGGGAGGCAGAGGCAGGCGGATCTCTGTGAGTTCGAGACCAGCCTGGTATACAAGAGCTAGTTCCAGGGACAGCCTACAAAGCCACAGAGGAACCCTGTCTCAGAAAAACCAAAAAAAAAAAAAAGGAAAGCTGCCAATATAAAGGAATAGGAGTATAACTCTCTCTAAATACTTAGCTGAACCTTAAACTTTTGGCCAGTGTGAGAAATCCTAGACCCTAAAAGGCTACCTATGCTTGTGAGACAGGGGAGTTTCTGTGCCTTTGACTGAATTAGCTCTCTGAACTGTACATACCTCAAGCTTCAGACAGCTGGGTTAGAATCAGAGGGCAGATTTGGATCTGAAGTGAGGAAACAATAAGCCCTGATGTCTAATGACAACTCTGCTCAGATTCTTGGCTGTGACAGTTACTCTTCCTTGTCAACTTGGCCGCAGACCCAGAGGCACTTAGGACACACAACTCTAGCTCTGTGTCCATAAAAGCACCTCTAAAGAGACCTGGGGGTGGGGGGAGACCCACCCTGAATATGGGCAGCACTACCCCAAATGGCTAGTTAGTCTCTAATTAAAAGACAAATGTTCTTTCGTAAACACAATGTGTGAAATAGGAAGCAGAAAGCTCAGGAGAAATTGGGAAATAGAAGAATCAGTGACCACACACACAGAACATTAGAAATTACCAATCCAAGCCAGGCAGTGGTGGCTCACACCTTTAATTCCAGCACTCAGGAGGCAGAGGCAGGTGATCTCTGTGAGTTTGTGGCTAGTCTGGTCTACAGAGTGAGTTTCAGGACAGCCAGGGCTACACAGAGAAACCCTGGCTCAAAAAAGCAAAACACACCCCCACCCCCACCACCAAAAACAACAAAAAACCCAGAGAAAAAACAAAAAACTATAAATACAAAGAGAATATCAAAGCTACAAAAAACTCAAGATTTGTGGAACATCATCAAAAGATTTAACATATGTATAAGTAGAATTCCATGGGATGAATTCAAGAAAAAAATGTCTATGCTTCTCAAATTTTGTGGAAAAAGTGATTTCAAGTGTTGAAAGAGAAAACATCCAGTAACCAAAATTCCCACATCAGACGAAACTATTTTTTTAAAAAAGTAAGATTTTTTTTTTTTAGATAAATAAAAAGAAAGCAATTCCTTGCTTACAGACCTGCACTACAGGAAATAAAGGCAGTCCTACAGAATGAAAACCAACATCAGATGCTAAAGCATATGAGAAGGAAAATGGCCAGTATATGGGCAAACATAAAAGATTATTTTTCTCTTATTCTATTTATTACATGACAGAATAGTCTATGTGTATATATTTGACACAGGGCCTCACTGTGTAGCCATGTTTTTTTTCACATGTATTGATTCAACCACCTGTAGTTTAAAAAAATAGAGTTAAAATTTTTGTCTGCTTTGAAGATACAGACTTAAAAAAAAAATCCCCAGCCTTTAATCCCAGCACTCAGGAGGCAGAGGCAGGTGGATACCTATGAGTTCGAGACCAGCCTGGTCTACAAGAGCTAGTTCCAGGATAGGCTCCAAAGCCACAGAGAAACCCTGTCTCAAAAAAAAAAAATCCCCTACATAATCTACTATAACAATTAGTCACACTGTTTACAAGTAACCTAGAGATGACTTAAAGTATATAGAAAGCCATATAGGTTAAACACAAATAGAATAATGTCATTTAATATGGGACTTGAGCATCTGAAGAAGTGTGGGTGTTCTGGAATCAATCTTCCATGAACATGAAGAACAGTGTTGATGCTTATGCTAACAGCATCAGAGAGGGGAAAGGTACACAGAACTATACTATTTTAAAGCTTTTACATTTAAAGTAATTCCTCCTCATACTATTTGGCTTTAAATAGAGTATAATGGATTAAAGATGCATGTTACAAACCTCAGAATAACCAAAAGTAAATAATATTAAAAGCTATTAAAATGATAAACTAATACTATTGTCTTAGCACACACAAAAAAACAGAAAAACAAACAATAATAAATAAATGTAAAAAGTTTGGGTTGGTGATATGGCTCAGTGGGTAAAGGTGCTTGCTGCTAAGCCTAATGATATGAGTTCAATAATATCCAGTATGCACATGGTGGAAGGAAGGAACCAACTAATAGAAGTTGTCCTCAGACTGTCACACATGCACCATGACATTTATACCCCACCCACCAAAATATGATGGGGGATATCATCTGTTTTCTGTATGCTGTGAATATATTTCTCTTATTGGTTGTTTCATTGGTTGTTTCAGTCAATGGACAGGCAGGATGTAGCCAGGCAGGAAGTATGGGGGAAGGCTACCAAAGTAAGAGAATGCTGGGAAGAGGAATGCAGAGGATGAGTCACCAGAGAGATGCCATATAGCTGCCGAGAAAGCAACAGCCTTGAGCATCACCTGTAAGCCAAGACCACATGGAGATTCACAGACTAATATAAATGGGTTAATAATTAAGAGAGAGCTATTAGGCCAGCCTGGGTTAGGGAATCTTCATGGAGTTTCCTTTCCATTTCTTTTTCTCAGTGTAATCTTAGATACAGACATGTAACCCCAATTACCCACGCCTTACATTGGAAGATTCAGAGTAAAACTCTCCATAAATAGTGAGGATAGATTTTAACTTAAAAGCCATTACTTTGTTTCTTGGTCACTTCTTCTTCATCACCGACTTCATCTTCAGTGACCTCAGATCCAGTGGTGTACTCTTCTTCCTCTGAAAATAATGACTGCTGTTTCTAAATGCAGAGGAAGACATATCTATTACCAATTCCACACTGCTATGTCATGAATGAATTGCTATGAACACATTTGCTTCATTTCTTGGATGAGTCAAGTAACACTAATACAATGGGACTGGAGAGATGGCTAGCACTTGTGAGTGTGCACTTCTCTTCCCAGCACCCACATCAGGTGATTCACAAACACCTATAACCTGAGTGCCACAATGCCTCTGGCCTCTGTGGGTACTCACACACATGTGTGTGCACACATAAACACATATACAGATTAAAGTAAATATTTAAAAAATGGACTAATACAATTCTGGGTATGGTAATATCAGCGCTTGGGAGGCCAAGGCAGAAGTATGGTAAATTTGAAGCTAGCCTGTTCTATACATGGAGAATATGTCTCAAAAACAAACAAACAAACAAAACACAGTCCAATTATACATGCCAGTGATCCCAGCACTGGAAAAGCAGGGGCAGGAGGATCAGGAATTCAGAGTTATTCTCAGTTACATGGCAAATCCCAGGCCAGCCTGGGCAATATAAAATTATCTGAGAGGCCAAACAAAATAAAACAAAATACCCAACAAAGAGCTTATTAGACTTTTTTAAATATCATAAATGTGATGTAGTCACATTTGTCTATTTAATTATTTAGTGTGTGGGCATGTGCAGAGGTCAGAAGAAAACTTGCAGGAGTCTGTTCTCTCCTTCCACCTTTAGGATCCTAGGGCTTAAACTCAGGTCATGAGACTTGCTGGCAAGCACCCTAACTATTGAGTCATCTAACAAGTCCCTAAATATGATTTAAAGGTGACTTTAAAAAGTCTTTTAACCAGGGCCTGGAGAGATAGCTCAAGAACATCTGCTCTTGGTTCTTACAGAGGACTACAGTTCAGTTTCCAGGGTTCAGATCAGGTGGCTCATAATTGCTGGTAACTCTAGCTCCAGGGGTTCTGATACCCTCTTCTGGCCTCTAAGGGTACCCTGACACTGGTGACACATATACATTTTCTTAAAGTCTTGTAACGAGAATCTTGCCTCAGCTTCCCAAATGATGGGACTTCATCACCACATCAGGCTCTGTCTTTTCTTAACTAATTGACATAATTTTCTTAGTAAGTGGGAAACTGGAAAGGCTGACAAACATTTAACCAAAGTTTGTAAAATAAGATGTTAAGATTTTATTATCAAACTTCAATATGGAAGCAAGAAGTCCACAGAAACTGAATCCAAAGGCTCACTTACCAACTGCAGAGTCCAGTTTTTTAATGACAAGAACTGAAAGGCAGAGGAACAACAGGTTAACAAACCTGCACAGCAGCTTCTTATTTTCACATGGCTACAAGTATGGTTCATTTTCAGGTTGAAATAATTTAAAACAGTCTTTAAAACCCCCTTCCCAGGATGGCTAGCATCAAGAAAAGCAATGGCAGCAACTGCCAGTGATGATACAGGGAAAGCAAATCTGATTTACTGCTAGCAGGGGCTCACACTTGTGAAGCCACTATGGCAATCAGGATGGAGGGTCCTCAACAAACTAAAACTAGAAATGCCACATGACCCAACGACAGCACCCTCAACATATTACAGATATTTTCACATATTCATGTTTATTGTTACACTATTCACAAAAGTCAGGAAATAGATCAAGAGTAGATGTCCACTAACAAATGGATGCTCAATAAAATATGTATAGATACACAATGGAAAGCCTAAAGATAAGGTTTTTTTTTTTTCTAAAATTTTTATCAGTTATCCATTCTTTGAAGTCAAATAATATATTACTTATCACTCTTTATAGTTTTATTCACTCAGCATAGTATCATATTATGTTTGGATAATCAATCCAATTTCGATTTAAATAGCCTAGGTTCCTGTCAAAGAAAAAATGTCATCAGTAGCTTTATATATGCATTAAGTAGAAAAGTTACTCACAGCATTGAGCTCCCCAGTTTTGGGGCCCCATGGTGTATTTGGTTCCAGCAAAATATCATATTCCAGGCCCTTTTCATCACAGGAGCCAAGCCCAGAGTCACTTGAATGAAAAGGACATTGTAAAGAGAAACATTCAATTTCTTACAATTTACAAGAGGGCTGGAGGGCTGCCTCAGTACTCGCTATTCTTGTGGAGCAACCTGGTTTGGTACCCAGCACCAACCCTGTGCCTCACAGCCAACTGTCACTCCAGCTCCAAGGGAATGTGATACCCTTTCTGCTCCCCTAGGCACTGCACACACGGTTCTTTTGTACACACAAAGACTACCTTGTTTTACAGATGTTTGTACAGCTTAAGAAATACAAGTTCTTACAGGTGGCCTCAGTCCTGATCCTTATCACTACAAAAATAGAACTTTAGTTTTTGACTATTAGGATATCACTTCAATATTTACTTTCCCCCCTCTTTTTTTGAGACAGGGTTTCTCTGTGTAGTCTTGGGTGTCCTAGAACTATCCTCTGTAGACCAGGCTGGCCTCAGACTCAGAGACCGTCTTCCTCTGCCTTCCCAGTGCTGGGATTAAAGGTGTGCCCTACTACTCCTGGAAATATTTACACTTTTAATGTCTAGTAATTACTCTAGCAGATCATCCCATAGGAGGCACACTGCCACACAAAGAAACTCCTATCTGCCAGTTGGTGGGCAGTAAAAAGGTTGCTGTGTTGATATTGCTCTCCAAAAAGCCTCTTTTAGATTCCTGTAGCCCAACTGACAGCCTGTTGCAGGTACAAGACGACAGAAGTGATTGCAGAAATGACTGAATTTAAGAGTTCAAAGTTATAGAAAGATGATCTCAGCTGTCAACTTCTTCCCTGTTTGTGTTAATCTGGCACTGGGGATAGCTCAGTGGTGGAAGGATTGTTCAGCATGCTTAACGCCCAAGGTCTGATGATCGTGTAAGATGGAAAAGGGGGAAAGAAATGTAGGGAAAGAACTCAAAATTTTCAAAAACTGGATTTAAAATCTCAATATTTCACCCGGGCAGTAGTGGTAAACACCTTTAATCCCAGCTCTCGGGAGGCAGAGGCAAACAGATTTCTGTAAGTTTGAGGCCAACCCAGTCTACAGATCGAGTTCCAGGACAGGCTCCAAAGCTACTGAGAAACTGTCATCTTGGAAAAAACAAACAAAAAAAACACCTCAACATTTTTAGATTCCAGTTTATTTTTTTTTGTTAATTTTTCTTCTCCTTGGACTTCCCCTATTTTCTATTTGTTCTGTCAAATAATTCTGTTCTTGGTGTAAACCACCCTAATATCAGTGAGGCTGTTCTCTCTCCTCCACATCCCCATGCTGGCTACTTTTATGTCAACTTAACATAAGCTACAGTCATTTGAGAAGGGAGCTGCAATGAGAAAATGCCTCCATAAGATCAGGCTGCAGCCAAGCCTGTAGGACATTTTCTTAATGAGTGACTGACTAGGGTAGGGTGGGGGGGGAATCCATCGTGGGTGGGGCCACTGCTGGGCTGGTGGTCCTGGGTTCTATAAGGAAGCAACTGTGAAAACCAAGGAGAACCAGCTAATAAGCTGCACTCCTCCAGGGCCGCTACATCAGCTCCTGCCTCCAGGTTTGAGTTCCTGTCCTATCTTTCTTCATCAATGGGCTACAATGTGGAGGTGTAAGCCAAATAAACCCTGTTCTCCCCATCTTCCTTTTGGACATGGTGTCTCATCGAAGACACAGAAACCCCAACTAAGATATCTCCCCTCCCCCGACATACACATGCTACAATGCTGGGATTAAACCAGGTCCTTGTACGTGTTAAATAGCAGGTGGACCACCAAGCTATATCCCTAAGCCCTTAAGTTCAACTCTCTGAGATAGTACTATGGGAGGATTGGCACTACTGATATGGGGAAACCCTTGGGGAGAGGGGATCATAAAATGGAAACAACTACCCAAAAAAGCTAAAAAAGAGTATTCTTTTTTCTCACCTAACTGCATCTTTTAAAAAAGGTGTAACAATAACATCTCTGTGCTTGTGTAGATCGTCCAGTATTCTAGTAGCTGGACAAGAAAGCAAATCATCATTTTCTCCTTGATCATGAAGAATAACCATGTGGTCCCTCACTTTACAGCCCTGTCAGACATAAGAGAAATTGTTAGAGGTAGGTTCAATATAAAAACAATATCTTAAGAGATGCAGTTCTACCAATGACAGCTTATGCTGTAGAAGATGTGGAGAAAGAGGAACACTCCTCCATTGCTGGTGGGAATGCAAACTTGTACAGCCACTGTGGAAATCAGTAGGGCGATTTCTCAGAAAATTAGTGCTCAACCTACCTTAAGACCCTGCAATACCACTGCTGGGCATATACCCAAAGGAGGCACATTCACACCACAAAGACATTTGTTCAACTATGTTCATAGCAACATTATTGTAATAGTCAGATCTTGGGAACATCCCAGATGCCCCTCAACTGAAGAATGGATAAAGAAAATGTGGTATATTTACACAATGGAGTACCACCAGTAGATTCAAATTCAACCCCACTCCTGACGCCAGCTAAAGCCGAACACAATGTGGAGTCAGAAGTTGATCGATAACAGTTTATTATGAAAGTACTCATGAAGTATCAAGGTAGCCAGTGACTAGGTCTGCACAAAATGCCTCCTAGTCCGCTCAGCCAGGTGGTAGAGAGAAAAGAGAGAGCCGTGTGTGCACCTCCCTCTTACTTAAACCCTTGCAACAGCACACTGACCACGCCCAAGCAGGCGTGGGTGTGGTCAGCAGTACCTCTAAACAGAATTTCTCCCTAGAGAGTACTACTCAGCAGTAAAAAACAATGACATCCTAAAATTCACAGGCAAATGGACAGAACTAGAAAAAAACATACTAAGTGAGGCAACCCAGACCCAGAAAGACAAATATAATATGTACTCACTCATAAATGGATACCATACATAAAGCAAAAGATACCCAGCCTACAATCCATAATCTCAGAGAAGCTTGAACCCTCTTCCAGAAACAGATGGAAGCAGATGCAGAAATCCACAACTAACCAATGGACCAAGCTCCTAGAGTACGATCGAAGTGAGGGAGGAGCAAAAATATGAACAAAGGAGTCAAGACCATGATGGGGAAACCCACAGAATCAGCTGACCTGAGCTAGTGAGAGGTCAGTGACTCAGGTCTGACAAAGGGGGGACCTGCATAAGACCAAACTAGACTCCCTTAATATAGGTGACAATAGTGTGACTGGGACAACATATGAAGCCACTGGCAGTGGGTCCAAGATCTAACACTAATGCACAAACTGACTTATTGGAGCCCATTCTACATGGAGAGGTACCTTGCTCAGCCTAGACACAGGGGAGTGGGGGTGGAGAGGTGCCTTGGTCTTGCCTCAATGAGATGATGGAACAGATAGTAGACCCTCTCCATGGAGTGGATGGGAGGGGAGGGAGTGGGGGGAGCAGGAGGAGAGGAGGGAGGGGGAACTGGAATTAGAATGTAAAAAATAAATTAACAACAACAACAGAGATATAGTTCTCAGCCATAAATGGGATGCCTATGTTAACATGCCATACACACCAAAGCTCAACAGAACATCAAAGAACAGGAGAGTGTAAGACAGGAAGATGTGCTGTGACATGCTGTCTTCTGGGCATGGCATGGGTATTACACTCATGAACTCACAATAGATATGGTTACCTGGTTGTGGTGGTGTGAATGAGAAAGACCCACAGGCTCATATGTTTGAATGCTTATTCATCAAGAAGTGGTACTACTTGAGAGGATTAGGAGGTATGGCCTTGTTGGAGGAATTGTGTCACTGGGGTGGGCTTTGAGGTTTCATTTGCGCAAGCTAGGCCTAGTGTGGCAGTCTCCCCTTCTGTTGCCTACAGATGCAGATGTAAAATTCCCAGCTAATTCTCTAGCACCATGTCTGCCTGTATGCCACCATGCTCCCTGCCATGATGACAATAGACTAAAACACTGAAACTGTCTCCAAGTCCAGCTAAATGCTTTCTTTTATGCTGTGGTCATGGTATCTCTTTACAGCAATAGAACACTGACTAAGACAATGTGTAAGATCAAGTCAGTCTGAATTGTGGCACAGATAAGTTAGATGAACTTAGGCTCCACCCCTTACTGAGGAGCTCCTGGCAGCTGATAAGTACTAGGGGAGGAAGAATCATTCATCTTGGAGTAGTCCTGTGCTCCAGTGCATGGCTATACATGCACATATGGACAGCACTAGCTGAACTTAGAGGTTTATCAGAAAGAGAAAGAGAAAACATGAACTTAGGGGGGGAACATGTTGTGGGCATACGGGAAGAGGGGAGAAATGAAGGTTGATATGATCATATTTCATTTTATAGCTGTATTAAATTCTCAAGAATGAAAAATATTTTACAAATCATATTTATCTTCAGTCAAATAATCATATCTCACTTAAATAATAAATAAATAAATAAATAAATAAATAAATTGAAACATATATGTACATCTGAACAAACACTTGAGATGATCACCGATTACATTAAAAAACACTGGGGAGCTACAGATATGGCTGGGTAGTTAAGGCATGTGCTGCCCTTGCAGAGGAACAGAGTTCAATTACCAGCACCCACATCAGGTAGTTAATGACCACCTAGAACTCCAGCTCCAGGTGATCCAATACCTGGCTTCTGTGGGCATCTGCACTCACATGTACATGCCTAAACAGACACACATTCATATAATCAAAATCTTAAAAAACAAAACAAAACAAAACAAAACCATGGGGTGGAGAGATTGCTCAAGCCATTGCCTGGCCCCTGACTTTGACCCCAGGAACTCAAATGGTAGAAGGAGAGAACCCACTCCTCCAAGTTGTCCTCTGATGTCCACACATAATCTGTGGCATATGTGTCCTCCCAAATGTAATCATTTAAAAAAAGGAAACAATATTTCAGTAGACCTTCCTGCTTCCGTTCCTTTTTACGTACTGCCCCCTTCCTCTCACAGGACAACCCCTCTGTCCTGTATTCCAATGCTGACAGCTATTTCTTCTTTTTTCTGTCCTTTCGTCTCTTGCTGGTATATGCCTAAACACTAGTTTAGTTTTGCCTTGTTTTCTTTAACATTATATTTTTATAAGTAAATCATGCAGCCACATGTAACTGTAATATTTGCTTTAATGTATAGTATTGCATTGTATGACTATATCTCTTTTTATTTATTTATTTTTTGAGAAAGGGTCTCTCTATGAAGACTTAGCTGCCCAGAGAGATTCAATTCCCCAATAAAAAGACACAGGGTAAAATAAAATGAATAGAATGATTATGAAAACAGGGTCCATCCTTCTGCTGCTTACAAGAAACATACCTCAACATCAAAGACAGACATTACCTCAGAGTAAATGGTTGGGAAAAAAAAATTTCCAAGTAAATGAACCCAAGAAGCAAGCTGGTGTAGCTATTCTAATACCTAACATTTAAAATAGACTTCAAACCAAAGTTAATCAAAAGAGACGGAGAAGGACACTTCATACTCATCACAGGAAAAAATAAAACAAGATGATTTTTCAATTCAAAACATCTATGCCCCAAATACAATGGCACCCATGTTTGTAAAAGAAACTCTACTAAAGCTTAAATCACACACTGATCTTCACACATCAAGAGTGGGGAACTTCAATACCCTACTCTCACCAATGAACAGATACTTAGGACAAAAACTAAATAGAAATACTGGAACTAATATGTTATGAACCAAATGAACCTAACATATCTATAGAACATTTCACCACAACACAAAAGAATATACTTTCTTCTTAGTACCTCATGGAACATTCTCTAAAATTGACCACATACGTGGTTACAAAGCAAGTCTCAACAGATATAAGAAACATGAAATGACCCCTGCATCCTATCAGATCACCATGGATTATAATAGTTGGATTACAACAAAAAGTCTATAAAGTCATTAACCCTGATCACAGTGGATGATGTTTTTGCTGTGTTTTTGGACTCTGTTAGAGAGTATTTTATTGAGTATTTTTTACACCAATGAGGGAAACTGCTCCGAAATTCTCTTTCTTTGTTCAATATTTAAGTGGTTTGGGTATCGGGATGACTGTGACCTTAAAATGAATTTGTCAATGTTTCTTCTGTTTCTGTGGCCTCACTTTCTTCAAAATCATGGAATTGTTCTTGGAATGTGGTTTCATGCCCCTACCAGGTGTAGCAGATAGGAGTCAGTGTTCTTTAGATTATTCATTACAACTGGCTATTGTTATTTGTTTATACTCCCCTATGGAAAAACATGTGTTTGCCACGTGCAGCTTGCCCTTGTGATTATGTACAGCTTCAACTCATGAGAACTTTACTCAGGTAACCTCTCTTAACCCTCATGGTATAAATTGTCTGATGCTGCGAATAAAGTTGACTATTGCTTGAGAATAGTTTGCCTCACTTTTAGGCTCCACTCTCTCAGGTCCAGACAACTCTAGAGCAGTAAACGTAAACTGTCTTTTAAGGCTCAGTGAACATTATGGAAGAGGAGACAAAAAGAATGTAAGAGCTGGATGATAGTGAGGGAAATCCTGTGAGTCTGACTTGGCCATGGTACTCATGAACTCACAACAGGGCTGGCACAAAGACTAAACTTGTGCTATAACTATTCAGTCATAGATGGTGAGGGACTAATGGGGCCTGACCCTACCCAGCGGAGCTAATGGCAGTTGTGGGCAGCTAGATAAGAGGAAGTCATTGTCTTTAGTGATGTCTTTAGTTACTCGTGACTTATCCATGCTCTAGTAGACAGTTTCAAACCAAAGCCTATGTGAATGAGCCTGGTTATATCCTGTGTGTTACACACAAAAACAACACAAAAAGACATAAAAGTGGGCTGGGGACCTCCTGGCAGGAAGGGTTGGGAGGCAGTAGAGAGAACAGAAGGAAAGAGAATTTGCAGAAGTGAGTGTAGTCAGATATATTATACATGTGTGAAATTGTTAAAGTGATTAAATAAAAAAAGATCTGAAAGCGAACTGTTTACCATTGTTACTAAGAAGCTGGGAGTGTTGAGGAGAGGGACTGCTATTTTTCTTCACTTCTGTATGTACTCTCTGAAGTTGTTTTTTTTTTTTAATGTTGATGTAGTTACACTTAAAAAGAAAAAGATTTTACATAAAAATGTTGGGGGTGCCTGAACTATAAAAGGGAATATTCAAAGCTTACCTCTAGTTCCTCTGGCAGAAATAACTGGATGCAGAGGATTATTAATAACAATAAAAGTCATGAAGGTGGGAGGGAGATGGGATGGGAGCATAGGTGGAGCCGGAGGGAGACAGTGGTGGATGGGTATTATCAATATATATTATACAGATATATGAGACTTTCAACGTTTAATCAAAGATTAAAACAAAAATCTTACCTTTGTGAGCTGAGTGGGATCAAATCGAAGAACCTTCTGGTTACAGCAGGGATAAATTCCAGTGCCCACAGTGCTCAGTGAACTTATTGTGGTGGAATAAACTACCACTTCTGAGTGATACTGACAATGTGAGAATTCAATACAGAGAAAGGCCTGGGTAAAAGAGATATATAAAAATCATCAATTATCCCACAATGACATATGTCTCAAAAATACATTTCTGAAGACTGTACATCGCACATCTCATTATATGAAATGTACAGAAAAGGTCCACCAATAGAGGTTGGACTTGCCAGGATTTGAGGCAAGAACATTGAGTGGCAGCAGATGGGCATGAGGTTCTTTCTGAGGTGATGGGAATATACTAAAAGTGGATAGTGTATAGTAAGTGATTCTGACAAAAATTGATTAGTTACATAATAATGAATTTTATAGCATATACTTATAATACTCCAAAGAAGTTTCTAAAAAGCAAAACCAAAAGTGCCTTACTAAAAATCTGGATGAGTAAAACTGATCTTAGTGTATATGCCTAATTTTAAAACTAACCAATACTTTTTTAAAATTCCAGTGAAAGTATCAAATAATTTCACCTTACTTGTTTATTCCTTTATTTTCTTGATAATTAGTATCAGTATTTATGAAAACTGTGCCCTAACTTCCAGTCATTAAAGAAAGTAACTTGTCATGGTATGGTTATGAAATGGGCTCCAAATCCACATGTAAGTTCATAAAAAACTCAAAGGCAAAAACAAAATTAACAATTAATTTAAAAACAATGACAAATATCCAAATGTGTTATCAAGTCATAGAACAATTAGCATCCTCATACACAGCTAAAGGAATGCAAAAGGACTCAGGAAATTTAGAAAATGTTAACTTAGATTATTATACTGAAGTTCTAATTCTAGGTAGTCACTCAAGAGATCTAAAAACCCATGCTTATAAGAAAACCTGTATGGGAACATTTATAGCCATTGTCTTCACAATGGCTCCAAATGTGGGTCAGCTGGTGAATGGTTAACATACTGTGTAATTCTTAGGACAGAAGGCTACTTCGCAATAAAAGGGGAGAGTGGTTATATCCAACAACATGTTGAAATTTCAAATTCATTTTATTGAGTGAAAGAATGTTCACTCAAGTAATTAAGCACTGTATGGTTCTATCTAATGACACTCTGAAAAGGACACATTAAGATCCAACACACAGTTTTGGCAGTGACTGCCAACTATTAAAAAGGAATTGATTTAAAAAGGACCACAGGCAAACAATGATGAAAATGTTTATGCTCTGATGGTGGTAACGTCACTGTATCAACCTCACAAAATGAATGACTAGTACTCTCTATAAGATATACCTCAATAAACCCAGGGTTAGCCCAGTGAGTAGGACTTACATATGGTCTGACATTCCAAACTCTGATGGTTTTGATGACCTGTTCTTCCTCCCTCCACTGAAAATCAAGTCAGAGAGAAATCTAAAGGAAGGGCATTCATGAGAGATTTGATGTGAAAAACCTTAGATTTACATAAGACTAATTAGGAATGACTATGATTTTGTAAAAAGTCATCATATGTGCCTTCAAGAACTAACCTACTTGTCCTTTTGTTATAAATTTAAAATTATTAAAACCATGAATAACAACAACAAAACCATGAACAAGGCTGGAAATACAGCTCAGTGGTATAGTTTGAGATCCAACTTTGGAGCCCTGGGACTGGAGGACAGGGAGGGAAGCAGGCAGGTGTGGTGGTGTACACCTGTGTGCACACACCTGCACACAAACCCGCAATAGCAACACCAGGGAGCTGACAGAAGACCGTAAGCTCCAGGCCAGAGCAGGCTGCTTGGTAAGTAACACCTGTCTGAAAAACCAAGACAACAAGAGGCCCAATGATTCTGAATCGCTAAGGAAATTTATGGCCCAAAGGAGAAACAGTTTGGCTGGAAATAAAAGCTATAAAAATTCTGTATATTGCCGGGTGTTGGTGGTACATGCCTTTAGTCCCAGCACTTGAGAGGCAGGCGGATCTCTGTGAGTTCGAGACCAGCCTGGTCTCCGGAGTGAGTGCCAGGATAGGCTCCAAAGCTACACAAAGAAACCCTGTCTCAAAAAACCTAAATAAATAAATAAATAAATAAATAAATAAATAAATAAATAAATATCAAAAAACCAAAATAAATAAATAAATAAATAAATAAATAAATAAATATCTGTATATTTTATACTGAAAAACTGGATTAGATAACAAAGAATCTGTTGCTTTTCTCAAAGTCTGGCAAGAATTATTTCAGAAATATACACAAGAGGAAGAAAGGACAAAATGGCAAAAGAAATAAAGGCAGATGTAAACAATGTCTAACAGACCACTATTCTTGCTACTACTTTCCTTAAAACCTCACCTGGTAACACCTTGAACAAGTCAGCCAGTTGATCGTTCCCCACAAGCGCCAATATACATCTCTCCAAGATTTTAATTCTTCAAAAAGACTATTCAAATACTCATGTACATCCCAGGTTTTATCTCTGGAGGAAAAAAAAATTATTTTAAGTGACAGATACAATTTGTTTTAACCAAATGTGGCTTGTTTCCAAGAATACTCTTCAAATGATAGTGTGGTAGGGACTATACTGAAAAACAGGTATAATTTCTTTATTTTTAGACAACAGAAGAAGGTATGGAAAGGCTGAATATCAATATTATTAATTGCACAGTTTGAACAGTTCATCACTTAAGAACCATGCAACGTTGGTTAAAAAGACCTTTATTTCATTTTTACTTTTTAAAAGTTGTTTATTGCTTACTGATATAAGTGGGTGTCTGCAAGCACATGTGCCATGGCGTGTGTGTGTGTGTGTGTGTGTGTGTGTGTGTGTGTTGTGTGTGCAGTGGATGTATGTGGGTATATGTGTGCATACATGCAGCTTATGGACTTAAAAATGACTTTGTATGTGTGGGATCTACATGTTTGAACATTATATGTGGGTGCACTTCGCCATGTGCATGTGTGTGTGTGTGTGGAGGCCAGAGGGCGAGATCAGGTATCTTCCCCTATCACTCACCAGCTAAGTGTTCTGAGACAGGTTTGCTGAACCTGGAGCTCACTGTTCTGGCTGCATTGGCTCACCACAGAGCTTCAGGGATCCTCCAACCCCAGCCTTGGTGTTACAAGCCTGTGCTAGCATATCCAGCTTTGTATGTGGGTGCTGGGAATCCAAACACAGTCTTCATGCTTGTGTAGCAAGCACTTTATACACAGAGCCATCTCTCCATCCCACTTACACATTTTTAATACAGAAAAAGAACCATCCAGAAGCAACAGTTAATATTTTAGTGACTGCTCAGAGGGCATAAACACCAAGTGCCGCCAATAGTCCTGCCGGAGATTCCAGCCGTGGGCAACAGGGGGAGCACTGGTTACCACCCAGCTGGGCGGACCGAAGGAGTGAGAAATTCTTTTCCCTTTTATTCAACAAAGTCATGTTAAGTAGCAGTGCAACCTAAAAGGGAGAGACAGAGGTTGGCAGCATGGCTCCAGCTCCTTAGGGATGATACATTATTTCCATAATACCAGGAAAGTGACTGCAGGCAGATCAACTAGACTCCTTCAGACTAAGCAACCAGTCTGCTGACACTGCTGTGCACTTAGTCCCGCTCCCAACCACCTGAAGAGGGAGTGCCGCAGACCTGCCTGTACCCACTGTGAGACCCATCAGAGTATCCGACCCTCTTGCACCCACCTGAAGAGAACCTTGGACCCGTACACACCAGGAGAGGAAGAGACCCCACCTGCACTCACTGGGAAGACAATATAAGAACACATTTAACAACAGAAAAGCCAGTATGATGCCACCAGAGTCTAGGGACTCTACGACAGCAAGACCTGAACATTCCAACACAGATGAAACCTTTAAAAACAACTTCATGAAGATGATAGAGACCCTAAGAGAGGAAATGAGAGAATCCTTCAAAGAAATAGAAGAAAAGACAAATCAAAAATTTCAAGAAACAGTTCAAACAGTGCAAGGTTTGAAAGCTGAAATAGAGACAATTAAAAAAAAAACACAGTCTGAGAGAATGCTGGAATTAGAAAACATAGGTAAACAATCAGGAATTACAGATGCAAGCATAACCAACAGAACACAATAGATGGAAGAGAGAATCTCACTAGGAGAAATAGATCCATCGACCAAAGAAAATCTTAAGTCCAACAAATCTCTAACATAAAATATCCAGGAAATATGGGATACCATGAAAAGGCCAAGCCTAAGAATAATAGGTATAGAAGAAGGTGAAGAAAACCAACTCAAAGGTGCAGAAAACATATTCAACAAAATCATAGAAGAAAACTTTCCCAACCTAAAGAAAGACATGCCAATGAAAGTACAAGAAGCCTACAGAACACCAAATAGAGTGGACCACCAAAAGTAACCTTATCACATAATAATTAAAACACAAAACATACAGGATAAAGAAAGAATATTAAGAGCAGCAAAGGGAAAAGGCCAAGTAATGTATAAAGGCAAACCTATCAGAATTTCACCTGAATTCTCCATGGAAACTCTGAAAGCCAGAAGGTCCTGGATAGAAATTCTACAAACACTAAGAGACCACAGATGTCAGCCCAGACTACTATACCCAGCAGATGGAGAAAACAAGATATTCCACGACAAAACCAGATTTAAATAATACATAGCCACTAATCAAGCCCTACAGAAGTACTGGAAGGAAAACTCCAACCTAAGGAAGTGAACTACACTCACAAAAACATAGGCAATAGATAACCCCCCTTTCCCAAAAGCAAAAAGAAAAAGCGGGGTAAATCCACACACAATACCACCACCAACAACAAATAAAAAACAAACAAGAATTAACACTCAATGGTCCTTAATTTCCCTCAATATTAATGGTCTAAACTCACCTATAAAAAGACACAGGTTAACAGAATGAATATGAAGACAGAATCCATTCTTCTGCTGCACACAAGAAACACACCCTCAACATCAAAAACAGACATTGCCTCAGAGTAAAGGGTTGGGATAAGATTTTCCAATCAAATGGCCCCAAGAAACAAGCTGGTGTAGCTATCCTAGTATCTAACAAGTTAGACTTCAAACTAAAATCAATCAAAAGAGATGAAGAAGGTCATTTCATACTCATCACAGGAAAAATTCATCAGGAAGAAGTCTCAATTCTAAACCTCTATGCCCCAAATACAAAGGCACTAACATTCGTATAAAAAAACATTACTAAAACTCAAATCACAAATAAGACCTCACACAGTTATAGTGGGAGACTTCAATACCCCACTCTCACCACTAGACAGGACCACCAGACAGAAACTTAACAAAGAGACAAAGGAACTAACAGAAGTTATGACCCAACTGGGATTAACAGACATCTGTAGAACATTCCATGCAAACACAAAAGAATATACCACATGGAAGTTCTTTAAAATCGACCACATACTTGGCAACATAGCAAACCTCAACAGGTACAAAAAAAAATGGAATAACCCCCTGTATCTTATCAGACCACCATGCTCTAAAGTTAGAATTCAACAACACAAATTGCAGAAAACCTACAAACTCATGGAAATTGAACAATGCACAACTGCACCATTCCAGGGTCAAGGAAGAAATTAAGACTTCCTAGAATTCAATGAAAATGAAGACATAACATACCCAAACTTATGAGACACTTTGAACGCAGTACTAAGAGGAAAGTTCATTGCACTAAGTGGTCACATGAGGAAACTAGAGAGTAGTCACATTAGAGAATTGACAGCACAATTGAAAGCTCTAGAACAAATAGAAGCAAAGTCACTCCAGAGGCATAGATGCCAGGAAACAAACAAACTGAGGGCAGAAATCAACAAAGAAAACAATACAAAGAATTAATGTAACAAAGAGTTGGTTCTTGGAAAAATCAACAAGATAGACAAACCTATATCCAAACTAACAAAAGAGCAGAGAGTAAACATGCAAATTAACAAAATCAGAAATGAAAAGGGGGACATAACAAAAGACACTGAGGAAATCCAGAGAATCTTCAGGTCATATTTTAAAACCCTGTACTCCACAAAATTCAAAAATTTAAAGGAAATGGACAATTTTCTGGATAGGTATCACTTACCAAAATTAAATCAAGAACAGATAAGTGCCCGGTGGTGATGGTGCACACCTTTCATCCCAGCACTCGGGAGGCAGAGGCAGGTGGATCTCTTTGAGTTTGATACCAGCCTGGTCTACAAGAGCTAGTTCCAGGACAGCCTCCAAAGCCACAGAGAAACCCTGTCACAATAAAACCAAAAAAAAAAAAAAGCAGTTATCAAAAGTCTCCCAAACAAAAAAAAAGCCCACAACCAGATGGTTTCAGTGCACTATTCTACCAGAAATTCAAAGAAGAGCTAATACTCCTCAAATTGTTCCACACAACAGAAGCAGAAGGTTCATTGCCAAACTCTTTTTTTACCAGGCTACAATTACCTTGGTACCTAAGCCACACAAAGACACAACTAAGAAAGAGAACTACAGACCAATAAACCTCATGAGCACTGATGCAAAAACACTCAATAAAATACTGGCAAACCGAATCCAAGAACACACCAGAGAAATCATCCACCATGATCAAGTAGGCTTCATCCCAGGGATGCAGGGTTGGTTCAACATATGAAAATCTATCAATGTAATCTACTATATAAACAAACTGGAAAAGAAAAACCACATGATCATCTCACTAGATGCTGAAAAAGCCTTTGACAAAATCCAACACCCCTTCATGATAAAGGTTTTGGAGAGATCAGGGATAACAGGAACATACCTGAATATAATAAAAATAATATACAGTAAACCAACAGCCAATATCAACCTAAATGGAGACAAACTCAACACGATTCCTCTAAAATCAGGAACAAGACAAGGCTATACACTCTCTCCATATCTCTTCAATGTTGTACTTGAAATTCTAGCTAGAGCAATAAGAAAACAAAAGGAGGTCAAGGGGATACATACTGGAAAGGAAGAAATCAAACTTTCACTATTGGAAGATGATATGATAGTTTACATAAGTGACCCAAAAAAACTATACCAGGCAACTCCTACAGCTGATAAACAGCTTTAGCAAAGTGTTATGATACAAGATTAACTCAAAAAAATCAGTAGCCCTACAATATTCAGATGATAAATGGGCTGAGAAAGAAATAAAAGAAACATCACCTTTTACAATAGCCACACATAACATATAATACCTTGGGGTAACACTAACCAAACAGGTGAAAGACCTGTATAGCAAGAACTTTGAGTCTTTAAAGAAAGAAATTAAAGAAGATACCAGAAAATGGAAAGATCTCTTATGCTCTTGGATACGTAGGATCAACACAGTAAAAATGGCAATCTTGCCAAAAGCAATCTACAGATGCAATGCATTCCCCATCAAAATACCGGCACAATTCTTCACAGACCTTGAAAAAATAATTCTCAACTTTATATGGAGAAACAAAAGACTCAAGATAGCCAAAACAACCCTGCACGATAAAGGAACTTACGGAGACATCACCATCCCTGACTTTAAGCTCTATTACAGAGCTATAGTCCTGAAAACAGTTTGGTAATGGCACAAAAATAGACTGGTTGACCAATGGAATCGAACTGAAAACCCTGATATTAACCCACACACCTACGAACACCTGATTTTTTACAAAGAAGCTAAAAATTACACAATGGAAAAAAGAAAGCATGTTCAACAAATGGTTCTGGCATAACTGGATGCTGGCATGTAGAAGACTGCAGATAGATCCATGTGTATCGTCATGCACAAAACTTAAGTCCAAAGGGGTCAAAAACCTCAACATAAATCCAGCCACACTGAACCTATTAGAAGAGAAAGTGAGAAGTACCCTTGAACAAATTGGTACAGGAGACCTCTTCCTGAACATAACACCAGTAGCACAGACACGGAGATCGACAATTAATAAATGGGACTTCCTGAAACTGAGAAGCTTCTGTAAGGCAAAGGACACAGTCAACAAGACAAAACAGCAGCCCACAGAATGGGAAAAGATATTCACCAACCCCACAACCGACAGAAGGCTAATCTCCAAAATTTAAAAAGAACTCAAGAAGCTAGTTTCCAAAAAACCAAATAATCCAATTAAAAATGGGGTACAGAACTAAATAGACAATTCCCAATAGAGGAGTCTAAATGGCTAACAGACACTTAAGAAAGTGCTCAGCATCCTTAACCATCAGGGAAATACAAATCAAAACAACTCTGATATACCATCTTACTCCTGTCAGAATGGCTAAAATCAAAAACACCAATGACAATTTATGCTGGAGAGGATGTGGAGAAAGGGGAACACTTCTCCACTGCTGGTGGGAGTACCAACTAGTACAGTCACTTTGGAAATCAGTATGGAGATTCCTCAGGAAAATGGGAATCAGTCTACCACAAGATCCAGCAATTCCACTCCTAGGCATATACCCAAAAGATGCACATTCATACAACAAGGGCATATGTTCAACGATGTTCATAGCAGCATTATTTGTAATAGCCAGAAACTGGAAGCAACCTAGATGCCCCTCAACTGAAGAATGGATAGAGAAAATGTGGTACATTTACACAATGGAGTACTACTCAGTGGAAAAGAATCAATGGAATCTTGAAATTTGCAGGCAAATGGATGGAACTCAAAGAAACCATTCTGAGCCTGGTAACCCAGTCACAAAAAGACAAACATGGTATGTACTCACTCATATGTGGATTTTAGACATAGAGCAAAGGATTACCAGCCTGCAATCCACACCACCAGAGAAGCTAGGAAACAAGGAGGACCCTAAGAAAAACAGACATGGACCCCTGGAGAAGGGGAAAGGGACAAGATCTCCTGAGAAAACTGGGAGTATGTGGGGGAGGGGAGAGTGAGCTAGGAGAATGAGAAGGGGAGGAGGGGAGGGGAGAGGAGGACATGAGGGAGCAGGAAGGTTGAGTTGGGAGAAGAATAGAGGAGAGCAAAATAAGAGATACCATAATAGAGGGAACCAGAATAGGTTTAAAGAGAAACCTGGCACTAGGGAAATGTCCAGAGATCTACAAGGATGGCCCCAGCTAACAATCTAAGCAACAGTGGAGAGTCTACTTTAAATGCTCTTCCCTGATAATGAGATTGATGGTTACCTTATATGCCATCCTAGAGCCTTCATCCAGCAGCTAACGGAAATAGAAGCTGACACCCACAGCTAAACACTGAACTGACCTGGAATCCAGTTGCAGAGAAGGAGGAGTGATGAGCAAAGGCTGTTTCTGTGGGTTTCACCAGGCTGACCTGTATAGAAACAGCTGACCTGAACAAGGGGGAGCTCATGGACCCCAGACTGATAGTTGGGAAACCAGCATAGTACTTATCTAGACCCTATGAACATGCGTGTCAGTGAGGAGGCTTCAGCAATCCATGGAGCTTCTGATAGTAGATCAGTACTTATCCCTAGTATATGAATGATCTTTGGGAGTCCAATCCATATAGAGGGATACTCTCTCAGACTAGACACACGGGGGAGGGTCTAGACTCTGCTCCAAATGATATGACAGACTCTGAAGATTCCCCCATGGAAGGCCTCACCCTCCCTGGGGAGCAGAAAGGATATGGGATAGGGTGTTAGTGGGGGCAGGGGAAGAGGGGAGGGAGTGGGAACTGGGACTGATAGTAAAACCAGCTTGTTTCTAATTTAAATAAAAAAATGGGAAAAAATATTTTAGTGACTACGTTCCTTAAAATGGTAGGTGTGTGTTCATCCTAGGCTGGTCTTGAACACTATGTAGCCCAGGATGACTTTATTTTCTGTGATTGTCTTGCTTTTACAGCCATAGTACTGAAATTACTGGGATGCACCATCTCATCTGAATCTTGAGGGTCAAACCTACGACTTTATGATACATGCTAAACTTGCACTATACCAACTGAAGTATGCCTCTAGCCTTCTAGCTTTATGTATTACATGTATTAAAATTATTATTAACAACTTTCTATGTAAGTATACATTCTTCTATATGAACATCCCCAGGACCCTCACAGTGGAAGGAAAAAATGGACTTGCCTAAGCTGTCCTTTGACCTCTACTGGCACTCACAATAAATAAATAAATAAATAAATAAATAAATGTAATGAAAAATTTTAATTGTAATTTAAAAATATAAAAAGGCTGAGGCTGGTGAGATGGCTCCACTAGTAAAGATACTTTTCTAAGAAGCTTGGTGATCTGAGTTTTGATTCCCAAGACCTACATAATAATGGAAAGGAGATATGGCCTCACAAAATTGTTCTCTGACCTACACACACACCACATGCACCTTCTGCCACACACGCACACAAAGAAGAAATAAATTATTTAAGAAAAACCAAGAGCTGAGGATGTAGCTCAGAGGCAGAGTCTTGACTAGCATGTATAGGGCACTAAGTTTGAGCCCTAACATACCTGAAAGAAAGGAAATGGGGGGATGTTCTTATAGAAAATTGTGCTTTTATAAGTACTCTTGAAATTCACACACAGAAACAAACTGTGTATTATCTTCACTGCACCTTATATGGATGTAGATAATATTTCCATGTCGATCCACATTGATTTTTCCAGGGATGCAAGGAATTCGTCTTTCTGTTTCTCTGGTTAAAAGTTTCTTACACAAACAGCATCTTCAACAGCAACAACAACAAAAAAATGTCAAAAATACTCAAGAAAGAATTTAACGTAGTAAATTAAATAATGAGGATCTATTATATAGCATACCAAGAAAAATATGTTACCTATATAATGTTGCTGCGTTATTTCGAGAATCTGGATTCACGTACTCAGCATCAAATAGTCTTTCAATCTTCTTACAAAAAAGTTTACTATTAAAAACAAATGGCCAGTAAGTTAAATGTCTGCATTTAGTATCTTACAGTTAGTGGTCTGTTTCCCCTCCCCCTTCCCTTCCTCCCTTTGTTCCTTTTAAATTATGTGTATGTATCTATATGGGGTATGTACACCTAAGTGCAAGGGCCCATGGAGGGCATCAAATCCCCTGGAGCTGGGGTTTCAGGCAGTTGGGGCTGATGGACATTGGTGCTGGAAATTGAACTCATGTCCTCTGCAAGAGCAGTATGTGCTTTTTGTGCTCTTAAACCCTGAGGCCTTTCTCTGGTCCTTCCACCTTTCTTTTAAAAAGGAATCTTTATCCAGAGCATCCCTTCACATGGGATGGGCTCTCAAAGTCCCTTCTTACACCAGGGGTAAATACTGATCCACTACCAGGGGCCCCATAGAGTGCTGAGGCCTCCTCATTGACATCCATGTTCAGGGGTCTGGATCAGTCCCGATTGACATGTGAAGCAAGCTTGTTCCTAATTTGAACTAATAAAAATACATAAAAAAATTAAGTGAAAAAAAAAAGGACTCTTTAACTGAATCTGGAGGTTGTCACTTTGGTTAGACTCACCAGTGAGCCCTTGGGATCCTTCTGTCTATACTATTTCAGTGTTATGGTTACAAACACATGCTATTAAGCTTGGCCTTTTTTGTGGGTCCTGGGGATTTTCATGTATACACAGAAATCGTTTTATGTACTGAGCCATCTTTCCAGCCCTAAAGGTAGTTAGTTTACAGTGATAAAAAAATAAGTATTGCCCTTATACATGTAGAAAACTCAGATTAGTAAGTATTTAACATTTATTTCCTTTCTCAAGCCCACTTTCCATAACAAACTTGTACTTTTTTTCTTTTTCCAAGCAAATCATTCAGAGCAAACATCTGGAAGACTTTCTAAACCCTGTGGGCCCCATTTCTGTCTTTCTCTATACAAGAGCAGTGAATCACATATTTTTGTCAATCACTTCCCCCTTTCAAAGCCTCTTTTGATTTTACCTTCCTTTCTACTCCACTGGCCTTTTTAGGTGTCCCTGACTGCTACTTCTCTGTCAAACCTTTATGTAATGGTAGCCTTTGTTACTACTCTCTTGCTAACAGCAAATAAATCAGAATAGCATTTATCATAGCAATAAGAAAGTAAATAACTAGGAAGAAAGAAGTAGAAAGTTATACTGTGTTTGCGAACCATAAGATTTGGTATTATTGAGATGCTAAAATCATGGCTGGAGAGAAGGTGCATATTGCTCTTGTGGAGGACCCCAGTGAGATTTCAGTAACCTCACTGAGTGACTCATGAATGCATAATCCCAGGGGGGTCTGATGCTATCTTCTGGTCTCTACAGCCACTGGTACTCAACACATGTACACACGTGCACGCGTTCGTACACACACACACACACACACACACACACACACCTGCATGCACACACACTTTTTAAAAATTTTTAAAAAAAGATCCTAAAATCAATCCAAACGCATCTCCAGGTTCAGTATTAACTCCCAATTCCAGTGTCAAAATAATTACAACACTGCCTTAATTTAGACTGGTTGCTACTTGAGTTGGAGAGGTGGCTCAGAGGTTTAGAATGCATACTGTTCTTACAAAGGACCCGAGTTTGGTTCCTAGCACACATTCTGGGCAGCTTACAACAGCCCATATCTTCAGATCCAGGGATCTGATGCTCCTGATTTCCACAGGCACTTTCACTCATGTACACCCCCACCATGCAGAGGAAGACACACAATTAAAAATAATTTTAGAGTCAGTGCTATCCACTGAAGAATGAGTAAGTTAACATGTTATGGATGAAATGAGCACAGAAACAGATCTCATCTGGTCACCTGACAGGGGTGGTGGTAACACTGAAGTTTGGTGGAGGAAAGGATGGCCTTTCATTACTTATTGTTCTGTTCATTTTTGTTTTTGTCTTTGCTGTGTGATCTCACTATGTAGTCCAGGCTGGCCTGGGTTTTACAATGTAGCTCAGGCAAGACTAAACCTCAGGCTAATCCCTCTGCTTCAGCCCCCTGAATGCTGGGACTAAAGGCATGCTAGCTCAAGAAAGACCTTTTAAATATATGATGCTTCAACAACTACAAGTATTTGAAAAATGAACCTTGACCTCCTACTTCATACTCTACAAAACAGTTAGTTCAGAGATGTCGACATTACCATAGAAAGGCAAAGATTTCCTGACACAACAGCAAATGCACTAACTGCCCTTTGCTGGAATCCCATCCAGGGACACTGTTCCATTTATTCGTAACTCTCTGTTAACAAGTCCTGACTTCTGACCCACATTCTAGAGGAACATATCTAACTAGCCACCTGCTATCCACCCAGATACACAAGAAGTTCACTAATTCTGTAAGACCTAAGCTGCCTCTTGGTTCACCTCACCTATCCTCCTCTCAACCTTTCCCTTCTGCAGTAGTAGCTTTTCCATCCATTTACACGCTCACGTTGACAATTTAGTAGTCATTCTGGGTCTTCCCTTTTCTCACATTATCCCCTCACACATCTGTCAAATCTTTTAAATTACATGCATTGAACTTGTCGGGTGCTTCACTGCATCTACCCTAATCCAAACCCGATAGGTTCCAACTGAGCTACTACTCTAGCCTCTTGTCTCTTTAACTCTTATACTCTTCATGTTCTCCACACAGAGAACAAATCTCTTAAAAACAGATCTTAAAAAACTCTGCTTCTGTCTAAACCTAGAATAAGGTCTGTTCTCCCTGCTCTGATCTCAAAGCCCTTACTGGTCTCATATCATACTACTTTGCCCCTTTAAAATGAAGACTTAATCTTAACACAGTTCATTATCACCGTATATTCATATGCTCATTATACAAAATGATTGCCGGGAGCTAGCAAGATGCTTCAGCAGATAAGGGTGTCTGCCACCAACCCTGAGTACCTGAGTTTGAGCCCCAGAATCCATATTGTGGAAGGAGAAAACTGCTTCTAGGAAGTTGTCCTCTGATCTACATGTGTGCTGTGGCACCCACATGCACATACACACACTCTTGTTAAATGTGATAAAATCTTTTAAATCATTAAAATTGATCATAACCTGGCACACTCGCGCTGGAGACCAGGCTGGCCTCGAACTCACAGAGATCTGCCTGCCTCTGCCTCTGCCTCCCGAGTGCTGGGATTAAAGGAGCGTGCCACCAACACCTGGCGCAGGAATATATTTTATATACATTTTAAAATAGAATTTCACTAAAATTAAATAGAAATACACATAACAAAACTTATTAGGTTTAAAACTAAAGTTTAAAGAGTTACCTCCTAAACTTATCTTTTTTGTCTTTTAAGTCATCAATTTCATTGTGTGTGAACAGATCAGCTATGCGAGTGAGGAGGTTTGCATTGATACAGTTCATGTTGCATGGAGCAGCCACTATGGCATTCATATTTCTGTGGCAATACTGAATACACTGTTCAACCTGGAAAACACAGAATAGAAAATTAATGTCGAAAATAGTAACACAAATAATATTGTCAGAATAATTTCAAACATAAACCTCATGAAATGCCAAACCCACATCTATATCACCAACAACTAGTTTTGCCAATTGTGTTGATCTACACTATTAAATAGGTAAAATGTATAAGCACGCATACCTAAATTATTTCCAATCCCTTTCATTTAAAATAATAATGTCTTTTAAATGGCTACAGCAGGTATAAATCTTAATCTTTACACTACAGTGCATATTCAAATGACTTCTTATGGTTAAATTTAGTTATTAAGTTATCCACATTCCCCTACGAAAGAGAAACAAAATTTCATTTAAGGATTTTCTCAGTTCTGTTTTATTTGCTCTTTCTAACCTGTAGTGAATTTACTTAGTGTCAGAGTAAAGAGAGGGAAGTCTCATAGTTTTTCAAATACTGTTCTGATGATATAAAAGAAATCTTTTAGGACTTAGGTTTCAAAACTCAAAGTTTAAGGACTCTGATTTTTTTTTTTTCCGTATACTTGTTTGAAGCCAATAAATTCCGCTGGCTGAGGAGTACAAAGACTATAGTAGTTAGTAAACTCTAAAGAAAACCAATGAGTTCATCTGCACACAGCATAGTGCTCTGCTCTATACAGTCTTATCAGGAGCAAACCAAATACCTATTTAAATAATAGCTACAAAATGTCAACCATGAAAACATATGAAACCACTTGAATTATAAAGATTTTTTGCTTTTGGTTTTGTAAGATCAAACCTGACTATGCATCCTAGCCTGACCCAGATATTTATTAAATACATAAGAAAAATAAACATATTTAATATAATAGCTTGAAATAAATGTGCATATGTTATACTTTTATATTTGATCAGCCATTCTTAAGCAATAGGTAGGAACTATGAAGTAAATGCAAAATTATACTGTTTAATAGCTGGATATTAGGTATTTGTTCATTGAACTATAAATGAGAGGCACAGAATAAAACATGCCTAAAGAAATTATTTAAATAGTAAAAACAGAATATATTCTAATTAATTTTCCTTTTGTTAGTGATAGAACAAAAATCTTTTGAAGTTTGTTCTATTTAGTTTCAAATTATACAATGGCTGCTCCAATTACAGACATAACATACAAATGATACCCAGTAATCTTAACCCCTTCTCAACAGAACAGAGTACTGTTACAGTTATACCCTTGAACTAACTACTTTTCTTTTTATACATTCAAAGGGGAAAAACATTAGGTCAATAGAGGGGCTTAGATTTTTAAAAATGAATACTTACTAATGAATCCATCTTCAAAAACTCCGAAGAAATAAGAATTGAAATTACATTTCCCGGCTCTAATAAAAGGAAAAACATTGAAATGTCTTTTTTGATTTTTACTCAATTTTCATTTTTCATCTTAAAGGAAGTTGTTACTTAAATAAAAAATTTGATATACCCTTACTTACATCACTTAGCTTGGATAAATGAAAGAAAGAAAATTTAGTGTAAAATCATAGGGTATAGAGAAACATGGTAAACTGTCCTTGAATTAGATTCATGTTAAGTGCAAAGACTAGCTAAAATAATGACGTGCAAAAGGCACAGTGAGAAAAGTTAAACAGTGATTAATGATAGCTTTAACTATGGAAGTTATTTCAGAAAAGCATTCAGTGCTGGCAAATAAATATTTCAATTTAAAAGATTCTGAAATGTAATAAAAACTGGTAAAATGTTAAAGCTATATGCTGCTGCCACACTAAGCGGGTCTCCAGGTACACAGCTAGGGAAAGGAGGTGCTAAGAGATGTTAGTAAATCTGTCATCTCTGTCAAACATATCTAAGAAGAAAACACCCCACCACTTTCCATCATTCCGATAATAATCATTCTAAACCCCTTTGTAACAGAAATCCTTCTTGGACTAAACAATGGGCAAGTAATTCCATACTTTCCAAATTATGGTTCTAGTTTAAGGTTCCCAAGTGGGTGGAAAAGCTTCTTGGGAAATTGTATCTGAGGATATGCCATCAAATTAAGAACTAGTAGCTTGTTTGTTGTGTGAGCTGCCTGGTGTGGGTGCTGAGAATCGAACTCGAGGTCCTCTGCAAGAACAGCAAGTGCTCCTAACCTGCTGAGCCATCTCTCCAGACCTAAGAACTAGTGGCTTAATTACGAGATTTAATTAAGTATCATTCTCTTACTTTTTTGGCTAGGATAAGGACTACTTCTAAAAAAAAAAAAAAAGTTTGTATTTGTAGCAGTGACATAATCCAAAAACAAACAGATCAAGTTATTTTTCCTCTCTTTCACTCTTACTATATGCACATGACTATGCCGGAGTAAACAAAAAATATATATATATATATATATATATTCTCTCAATTTTCCCACAATGACTCACCACAAAAGAGGTGTGTGTGTGTGTGTGTGTGTGTGTGTATACATGAGTGTATATATGCACACATATATTCATAACTAGATAATCTGAAATCTGGTCTCTAGCTTGAAATTTTTAAAAGACATTTAAAATGTTTAAAGATTTTATGTATGTAGGTGTGTTTTGCCTGTATGCATGTGTGTACCATGTGCATGAAGTACCTGAGGAGGACAGAAGAGGGCACAGAATCTCCTAAAGCTGAGTTATAGATAGTTGTGAGCTGCCATATGAGTGCTAGGAATCCAACCTAGTACTGTGGAAGACCAGTTGATGCTCTTAAATCAATGAGCCATCTCTCCAACCCTAGCTGAAAATTTGCATTTAACAACCTTAGGATTTGATTTTTTTTTTTTTTTTTTGAGACAGGGTTTCTCTGTGTAGCTTTGGAGCCTATCCTGGTACTTGCTCTGGAGACCAGGCTGGCCTCGAACTCACAGAGATCTGCCTGCCTCTGCCTCTGCCTCCCGAGTGCTGGGATTAAAGGCGTGCGCCACCAACACCCGGCTAGAATTTGAATATTTATTTAAAACATTTTTATTTAGAATCTTTTCCATTTGTTTGGTCACTATAATATCATAAGTTTTTAAACTTCAGAAATCCTTTTAATATTGTAAATATATTAATAAGAGTTTTTTTTTTTTTATTTGCTCCTAGGGCTAAGGATTGAATCTGAGTCCTCATGGATGCTGGGTGAGCACTCTCACTGAGCCATACTCCCAACCTCTATTATGTATTTGAAAATATCCTGATATTGCCATTTTAGCATATAGATTTTTATTACCTTATAAAAATCTATGCCCATTAAAAGGTTATTACTAGTTACTATCTTTTCAAATAATATTTTAATATTAAAATGATGGGTTTCATTATGATGTTTTCATATATACATGTCCCTTAACAATTATCTTACTATCATTAAGAACACTGTTCTAAAATTTTTAGTCTCAGGACTCCTTTACAATCTTAAACACTGAGAATCCTAAACAGATTTTGTTTATGCAGGTTATATGTCAGTATTTACCACATTAGAAACAATGTAAACAGAGAAATTAGAAGTCAGTTTTAAAACCTAATCATATTACATGTAAACATATTTTTGTGAAAAATATATTCAAATGAAAAAAATTAGTGAGTGGCACTGACTGACATTTTCTGTAAATCTCTTCAGTGTTTAATTTAACTGACTGCAGAATTCTATCTTTTCCTTTCTTTTTCCTGAGGCAGGATCTTACTCTAGCCCAAGCTGGTCTTCAACTCATAGCAACACTCCTGCCTCAGTTTCCCAAGTGCTGGAATTACAAGCATAAACCACCATGCCTGGCTTCACATCATCTTCTGCATTCAATTTGGGGGTAGGCTGCTTTTCTCAAATTAAAACATGACAAAGGTCATTCATTTTCTTGAAGGTTGAGTGGAACAGAAACTGAAACCCTATCAATAAACTTCTACTTTGTTCAGTGACTCATCTTTCACTACAACTGCATCATTAACCCATTACAGATTTTTAAAGGCATTGCACAATGCTCAGATGGGAAAGTCTGGCTCACTGAGTTATTCATGTTCTAAATATTCAGACACTTCATTTTAAAGAGGTATTTTGAAAGTCAGATTTGTTAGTAAATCCAATAGGATTTTAACACAAAAGTATTTGTGCATGGAGAAGCTGTCAGTGACACTTGAGAACTTGGGTTTTATCACTAATAACACATACTATTAACTAGCTCATTCACAAAAAGAAAAAAAATGTATCAAGTATCTGTCATAACTTCTACTTTTAAGTTGGCCGAGTTAGCTTTCTCTCAAGACAGTGGGACACTGGAGTGCATCTTAAGTGCAGGACCATTATGACAGCCCAGAAAAGGATGTACATCCACGGACTGAGATTTAACAGTTACTTTTACTGCTTCATCAAGAACAAGTGAGCCTATGTTTTTCCCTTTCCTTTTTAACTATGAGTGCACAGTATTGGAGAAAACAATGATACAGCTTGCTGTGTCTGCTTTGACTTGGGCTATAAAGCTCAACAATCTTGCACACACAACAATCTTTTCATATTCTGAACAAACACTGACACAGAGAAAAAGTGAGTAACATCTTGGTATTGTCATGTAAACTTTGTTAACCTTGTAGGCCTTTTAAAGAGTCTCCAGGACCCTTTCTAGAACAGATAAAGTACCAGTTTCTGTAATATGAGCATAAATACTAATATTCAAATAAACTTTTACATCTCAGTTTGGGCCTGAAGCAGCTACTCAGTGACATACAAATTTCACCACAAAATAAGCAACAATTTTTTTTTTTTTTTTTTACCTAAAGTGGGAATCTCACAATCTTTATTCTCCTTAGTGTTTCTTTTAACATATTTTATCAACCAGTTGAAAATGTGAACATCACAATGAACTGAAATGTCCACCTCTTCCCAGCGCTGGGCATCCATAGATAAATATTCAGCAAAGTACTTCATTTCCGATACCAAAAGATCTCGTGGGCAAATAAAATCTTCTTTCAAGTTTTTTGCTTCATCACATACATGGATCACCATATTTGGCCTTCATAAAAAAATGTTACACAGAAATGAGATTGTTAGAGTGAGAAGAGGAGGCAAGAATACTGACATTTTAGCAGTAAGAGAACAAGGTGGTTTTGAAGATTTGAACCACAGAACTCTGTTTAATATAGGTTTGATGTTCAGAATTTCTCAAGTTTCTTGTCTATTTGATTGTGCCTCAGATTATGATTAATTTAATTATGCTATCCACTTAAATACAAAACATTGTTGCTAAAGAACTAGTACTTTACATGGCTTCAATTTTATTGTTCAAGTTCCAATTCCCAAAGAACTAAATAACAGACTTTGATTCTTGCATTATGACTAACATCTTTACACTTTCGTAAAAGGAAAAATATCTATAATGATTCCTTGAACAATCAAATTAAAAACCAGTATCACTTACTTTAGCACCAACAATGTTTGCATTCAGGCATTCATGAAATATATATTAATGAGTACAGTTATAAGAATTCTTAAGATTATGTACTTATTTACATAAATTTAGATAATAATACATCTGAAAGTTTGTTTCAACAACTATATACTCCTTGAATTTATCTTCTTTGAAAGTGATGTATTTTGCTAGGTATGGCAGCTCATGTGTGTAATTCTAGGGCATGAGAACCTGAAATGGTAGGATTACCATCACTTGGAGGCCACTCTGTACTATATAGTTATCCAGGGCCACAGAGTGAAGCCCAGTCTCAAAAATGCAAAAGTCAACTAAAAATGTAGGGGTAGGGGTATAGCTCAGCTGGTACAGTAGATGGAGCTGAATTCCTAGAAACCATTTTAAAAGGCACAGTGTGATGGGGAGACCAAGGCAGATAGATCCTTAGGACTCGGCCACATCCAGCCTAGCCAACTTGGAAAGTTCCAGCACAGAGAGAATCTTCTCGCTTCCACACATGCACCTTCACATACACAAACAGAATACATAAAAACAGACAAATGAACAACCAAAACAGTGTGACACACTGTCTTCATTCCATTACAGAAAGGGAATAAATAGGAACACAGTGTACTAAAAGTGAATTACTCTGTGCTTAGTTTAATTTTACAAAATCCAAATACAATATAAGTGTTTTATATAAAGTTGGGATATGAGAAGAAGTATTAGAATCAATGTTCTCTCAAAATCAAAACTGGGCCAACAAGATGGAAAGGGTGCTTGATGCCAAGCCTGATCCTGATGGCCACAGTTTAATCCCTGGGACCCACATGGTGGTGGAGAGAACTGATTCCTACCCACTACCCTTTGACCTCCATTTTCTCTTAGGTGGCACATGCTCACCACAGCACACACTTACTTATGGAGAGGGAAAGTTCAAGCTAAGCTACCTGGGAAACTTGGATGGACTCTGACTCAAAATAAACTTTAAATGGGCTGCTGATACTAGCTCAGTGGCTGAGTGCTCCCCTGGCCTGTACAATATCCTAGGTTCAATCCTTCATACAAGGAAGAAATGGGATGACAAAAATATTTTGCATATTCATTAGGTGATAGTTACATGGTGTGCTATTTGCCAAAGCAAAGTAAATATTTGCTATGCATGCAATTTATTATATAGGAAATACACAGAACAAAACAAAATTAAAATCTGAAGCATACTGAAATACATTCTGATTTTTAAAATTTGTAAAGCAACTATATTAAACAGTTCTAAAATATATATCTAATCTCATTAATAAAGTTAAAGAACTAATTACTTAGTTTAGGTTTTTCTTTGGGCATTGAAATTTACTTTCTAAATTATGTTATTTCTAATTTTTAAAAATAGGCCAACTAGTTTTTAAGAATGAAAAACTTCCACAACTTATAAATAACACAAGCAAGTAATATGTTAAGGACTTAAGCTATTTTTTGTTGTTCAACACATAGATGAATCTGATTCCAATGTTTCAGCAATTGTATAATGTGAAACTCCTAAAGTCTGATAACTGATATTTGTAACCACCAATCATATACTTTTAAGGTTAAAGATAATATTAATATTAAATCTTATCTAGCAAACAGCCAGCCTCCTACCCTTCAGATTCTTCAGTCTTTTCTCCAGCATTACGAGTAGTACAATTTTCACTTTCTGAAGAACAATTCCTTGTGGAAGCTATACTATGTCTTCCTTAAATACAGAAACAGACACATACAAGAAAAGGGGGGTGGGTTAGCATTTCTAGCTGAGGATGGGTTTTACTCATGGGATGGTAACAATGTAAACACATGGTTTCCAAGGCCAGTTAAAGATGGTATTTGTCAGGGGCATTTCCCATCCTAACATTAATATTTTCAAGGCAGTACAAAAGTGAATCACAAACGGCTAATGCCACAGTGATCTGGCATTCCAAATTACGCCAAGTGTTCAAAAGCACAGTGGTTTCTTCTTTCCAAAACACATTTCTATTTCAACATTGTGACTATTACTGAAATGAAAGAAACTCATTCTGAGGACTTCTAAACCAGTGACTTCCAAATGTAACTCCAGAAAACACCTCTTCAACCTTGTCGCTGTGGCATTTGAATCTCTGTTAGCCGCAGTATAGAATGGCTGTAAAAAAAAGATTATGTAAGAAATGAGCAAGATTCTCTAATTTTTTTTTGTTGTTGTTAAAGTAGCCTGGCATGGTAGTATATGCCTATAATCCCAGCAGTTGGGAGGCAGTGGTAGGTGGATCTCAGTGAGTTCTATACCAGCCTGGTTTACATAGTAAGTTCTGACAGCTAGGGTACACAGATTTTGTCTCAAAAAACAAACAAACAAAATAAATATGTAAATAAATAAATAAATAAACACTAAAAAGTATCCTAGCATGGTTATTCATGACTTTATCCTAGCACTTGGGAAGATCATGTGTTCAAGCTCATCCTCAACTACATAACAAGTTTGAGGCTAGCCTGGGCTACATGAAAATGTAAAAGTAAAACAGGTCAGAGCACAGCTGGACTTAAAACTACACTTTGATTTAGTTCTGGGAAAAGAAAATTTATTATTCTTTAAGTAGAAAATCTATAAATAAACTATGAGCACAGGAGAGAAAATGAAATATAAATTTGCTACAAAACATCCATGTTAAATTCATTTAAAATAAGTAAATGAAGACTAGGAATGCAGTTCAGCTGATGGAAGGCTTGTCTACATGACAGAGATTAATTCCCAGCACTTCGTAAGCTAGGTGTGGTGATACATCCCATCTGTTAGTACAGTGATACATTATGTCTCTCAGTACTTGGGAGATGGGAGGCAGGAAACTCACAAGTTCAAGTTTATTCTCAGCAACATACTGAGTTCAAGGCCAGCTTGGGTTACATGACACCCTTTTTTAAAAAAAAAAAAAGAAAACAAAATTACAGCAAATAAACAGTATGTGAGAAACTAGGTTGACAAACTAGAGTAAATTATTTTGATACAATTAACACTTTGTTTTAGAAATGTTACTTGACCTACATATTTACAATTAAGGTTTTTGAAAAAACAACAAAGAAAATGAGAATTTTTAAAACATTCATAAAGATAAAAACACTAACAGATTTTTTACACAACTGGCCTTTAAACAAAGAAAGGAAGGTTTACTAGAATGTACAAATGTAAAATTTTCATAAGGCTAAGTACTGTAATTTTCCTTACCTGGTTTCAAAACTGTATCTTCATCAACTGGATTCTCCTGAAAATCTCCTTGTGTTTCCAGAAGAGAAGATTTAATGTAAGTGGCTAAAGACTCAACAGGACCCTCCCCAGCCGCCATTAAGGGGTTATACTGGTTGTCAACAGGTGAGCTTCCACTGCTCTTCAGCTCATCAAACCTTTTTGCACACTGCAATGATACAAAATGGTAAAAATGGAGGTTACATTAAAAAAAATCACTTTGTATGAAAATGCCAGAATGGTACTTCCTGTGCTAACCAAAACAGTTTAAAAAGCACATAATGATTTTTATACAAGCTTACTTTGTTAATACATGATATTATCATCGAGTAATATTATAAAATCAATCATTAAGTAATCATGAATTATAATCTTCAGCCAATGAATTTTAACGAAATATTATTGAATGATATAACTCGTAGGAGAGAGATATATTTACCCATAGTTCTGAATAATCAACTTTAATCATCAAGATTATATAACTATGTATAAGGCAAAGTAAAAAAATTAATGGGAAAAATATATTTTATTTTCTTCTAGTTAAAGATACTTTATTTTAGAATGATCTTAGATTTATTTACCTTATTTATTTATTATTTTTTTTCGAGACAGGGTTTCTCTGTGGCTTTGGAGGCTGCCCTGGAACTAGCTCTTGTAGATCAGGCTGCTATGGAACTCACAGAGTTATTTACCTTATTTTATATATATAAGTGTTTTCCATGCATGTATATGTGTATACCATGTGAGTGCCTTTTGCCCACAGAAGCCAGGAGAGGGTGTTGGAGGTGGTTACAAGCCTCTGTATGAGTGTTGTAACTAAAGAGATAGCTCAGTGGTTAAGAGCACTGGCTCTTTCAAAGATCCCAGGTTCAACTCCCATGACCCACACAGCAGCTCACAATCATCTGTTAATTCCAACCCAAGGGCCTCCAAAGGACACCAGGCAAATGGTACATACATACATGCAGACAAAACATCCATGGACATAAAATATTTTAGTAAAAAAATTAAAACTGCTTAACCCAAAGGAATCATATTTATATGTTCTTGAAAAGATTATCTTAATTACCCATATTCCTCTTTGGTATGTATCTGTTATCAGTTGACAGTGTTAGCAAATAAAACACCTGGCTTTTATTTTTGTATTAACTGTGTTTCTACTGGGAATAATACCTAATCCTCTCATCATTTAAGTATTAACCAGACCTGATTTTGCTTAGCTCTGGAGATCAAATGAGACTAGGCGTGTTCTGAGTGGTGTGAACACAGACTTCACCCTAACCTAGGATTAGGAACTGAACCCAAGGTCTGATAATAAGAGACAAGTCACTAAGCAATATCCCCAGCCCTACTGAAATCTAGTTCCAGCTTCCCTCAGGAGGATCTGATTTGTGACATTACATTTTACTTTTCTTTCTCCATCTCTTCAAAGGTGTATCTCAGGACCTCACACATCCTAGAGAGACAATCTACCTATGAAGAAGATGCCAAAGTTGCCAAGGAAGCCACAGAAGGAAGCAAAATTGATGGGAATAAAATGATTTCTGACTAGACCAAATCTAATGGTGAGTTCGTGTTACAATCACAGTAGAGGCCACAGAGTAGGCACGGGGACAAGCTATAAAAAAGGTAAGTTTCAATCTTTTTTTTATAAATTATGTCCTTGTTTTACCCTCTTCTATTTGAAAGAAATGTTTTCATTGTCACCCATTTGATGGCAGAGCATCCTGAAGGCATTTCAAGACTGGGTCTGTAGTCTATTTGTAGTCAAACACATACAGGTAACATATTAAGACATATACCCTGCTGAGCTTGACTTGATATTCATATACACTTTTAAAGGAGATAAATGATAGCTATGACCTTTCTGGTTGTTTTGTTTTGTTTTTTGTTTTTTTTTGAGACAGTGCTTCTCTGTGGCTTTTGGAGGCTGTCCTGGAACTAGCTCTTGTAGACCAGGCTGGTCTCGAACTCACAGAGATCCGCCTGCCTCTGCCTCCTGAGTGCTGGGATTAAAGGTGTGTGCCACCAATGCCCAGCTGTGGTTAAGTTTTGAGTTTATATTTGAATCCCTTCTGTTTTATCTCATATACATAGCCATTTTTAATACAAATAGTTTTTGCTTTTTATTTTATTTTTTTGTCTGTGTCAGGATTGAAAAGATGGAGTTTTTACCATGATTTTTACTTTAGTGGAAGTAAAATAGATTAGAAGTCCTAAACTTAAGAAAGAAAACAAGAAAACCCAACTCTGAAAAGTAAGTAAGTCAAAATGAAACCATCAGTGAAATTATCAGATACTATAATCCCAGGAGTCCAGAGGCTGAGGCAGGAGTATCTTTATGAGTTCCAGGACAGCCTGGGTTACATAGTAGTTCCAGATATGGTAACACACTCTTATAATCCCAACATTTTTGGAGGTTAAGGCAGAAGATAGTCCAGCCTGGGTTATGTTGCAAAATTTCATATAAAAAAAGTAAAACAAACAAACAAACAAAAAAACACTGGAAGGTGATGGGAGGCAGAGAAAGGCAGAGCTCTAGGTTTGAGGCCAGCCTGGTCTACATAGTGAGTTCCAGGACAGCCAGAGCTACACAGAGAAACATTGTCTCAAAAAACAAACCAACCAACAAACAAACAATAACAAAAATGCACCAAAAAGCTGAAGTTTGTGATTTTCAAACTAGTGTCCATGAATGAATTACAAGACTCTGTTTTCCCTGTAAGAATTCTTAAATTTAAGTTTGATTCTGAGTATAAATCTAATACAATCAACTAGGTTATCAGGATGACTAGGTTCTCAGTATTTCACAGCCCATTTTACTTTTCTCATTAAAATTTAATTTATACCAAGAAATACTTTAAATGTTGGCGGTGCACACCTTCAATCCCAGCACTTGGAAAGCAGAGGCAAGTAGACAAGAGTTTGAGGCCAGCCTGTGTTCTTACATTGTTTGCCTTCTCTTAGCACTAACACATTTCCCCTCTATTTTAATCTCTATTTTCGCCTTTTTTCCCTTAGTGATAGGCATTTTAAAAATATTATTTATTTATTTATTTATTTATTTATTTATTTATTTAGACAGCATTTCTCTCTGTCCTGGAACTCGCTCTGTAGATTAGGCTGACCTTGAACTAAGAGATTCATCTGCCGCCTCTCCCGAGGGCTGAGATTAAACTCAATTTCCAGAGGCACCCTCTTCTGGTCTCCTTGGGAACTACACAAGTGTGGGTGCACAGACACATGCAGACAAAACACTCAGACACATAAATTAAATATAAAAAGAAATAAAAAAAACTGTAAAAATTTTTTCATCTAGGTGTTCCTTTAAATCTCACATTTTGGGGGTTCTGTTCTTAGTGTTGCTGTTGTCATTTTTATTTTTTAGGAGGTATCTGGGGGAATTGTTACTTACCTCTTTGGGTGTTAAACCAGGCACAAGCCTTGCCACAGTTTCCCAGTTGATGGTCTGAGGAATTCCAATTAATGGATAAAGGATCATATCCAGTACCATTTGGTTATTATTATTCAGAAAATTATTGTTTTCTGGATACCCACGACTCATCTTTTGGAGCTAGAAATAGGGAATACACAGTCTTACTTACATCTGAAATTCAGATGTTTCCAGAACATTGTAGACTAGCTACAATCCATTCCTAAATATTACCTGTCATTATATAAAGAAAAAATAAAACTGACCTAAAACAAAAAATATCCATCCAAAATCTCTTCAAACATAAAGGCTTTATGATATTATGACTTGAAAGATGGGTCCATATGAGGATGGCAAATGTATTAAATATGCAATAATAAGGTAGAATCTTTTTTTTTTTTTTTTTTTTGAGACAGGGTTTCTCTGTGTAGCTTTGGATTGGAGCCTATCCTGGCAGTTGCTCTGGAGACCAGGCTGGCCTCGAACTCACAGAGATCCGCCTGCCTCTGCCTCCCGAGTGCTGGAATTAAAGGCATGCACCACCAACACCTGGCATAAGGTAGAATCTTACTGACAGACTTCAGGTGGCAGGCGTTTGGGTGTTTATTACAAAATCCTTTCTGACTCTGCTATATGTTAATTTTTTTTCCAAATTAAATGTCCAGGAAAAGTTGAGTTTGATTTCTTTTCCTAAAAACTCGCTAAGCACATCTGGTTTATACACTGACTATTGATATATAATTTAATCAAACCATGAAGAAACTGAAACATATAGCTTGCTAGAAAGATTGTAATTTCATTCTGTTCTTAAATAACCTCCCTCCTACTTTCCCCTGAGTGAATGTTCATGGTACAAATAATGATGGCTGAACATACTGAACTTGTATAGACAGAGTAAGAAGAAGCTTAGCCTGGCAACTTAGCAGAGCAGTTAATCTGCCTGTGGTTACTGTAATTATATCAATAACTGTTAAGTCGTGTTATTTTTATATGTTTGAAACAAATTCTCTTTAGAAAGTTCTTTTCAGCCATTCTATTCTGAAGCAATGTGAAACTGACCTGATTGACCTGGCAATGAATATGGGCAGAAAAACTGATAATGTAACATCATTTTGGCCAAGAGCCAAAATGGAGTCACAACCTGGAGAGGCAGAGGAGTCTGTAATAGTCTTCCTAATTTTACTTGTAAGGAAACATATTCGAAGGAGGTAAGTAATTTATACAATGACATTGACCCAATAGGATAGTTCTTTCCATTCTATATGATGGTATGTTATGGAGAAGGAGAGAGCTGGAGATATTGGTTTAAGATGGAAAAGGACACAGACTAATAGAATGTAAAGCCAGTTATGTTTCAATGAGACAACTGTGGAAGCTTTGGCTCCTGAGGTGGGCTGGGGATATTACAAAAAGAAAGAAAAGAAACAGAAATTACCCATCCAAAATATTTTAGGAAATTCTTTATGTCTGTTGATTTAAGACACACTATTTTATCTATGCATTTACGAATATTTCATTATGTGTCAGGCACTGCGGCTGAAGTTGGAATACAAAATTATAGGAAAAAAAAAACAATGGTGAAGGTTTATGGCTAGTCATGTTTATAGTTTAACTGTTACTGGCTTCTAGGTTGGGAATGGCACTTGAAAATATAGGCTTCTCACCCACAGGAACAATTGGCCTGAACAAGGGAGAGTACATCGACCCCAGATGCTGTCTGGGAGGCCAGTACAAGACTGATCCAGACCCCTGAACAGGGATGTCAATATGTTGGCTTCTCCACTCCAGGGAGCCTCTGGTGGTGGATTAGTATTTTTCCCTGGTGCAAGAAGGGACTTTGAGAGCCCATCCCACGTGAAGGGTTACACTCTGGCCCTGGACACATGGGGAAGGGCCCAGGACCAGCACAGGAAGATTTGGTGGACTTTGCAGAGCCCCGTTGAGGGCCCTACCCTGCCTGGGGAGTGGTGGGTGAATGGAGGGATGGTAGGCTGGGGGTGGGGGAGGATGGGTGGGGGTGAGGGGAGGGAGAGGGAGAAGGGACTTACATGTGAAACAAGCTTGTTCCCTAACTAGAACCAATAAATAAATTTTAAAAAAGACTACTAGACAAAAAAAAATCCCAAATAAAGCAATATTACCCCCCCAAAAGAAAATATAGGCTTCTCTACAGAAAAAATATGGCACAATGTAGAGATCACTGACAGACTAAGAGCAGTGTGCTCAGAGCCTGAAGGTCTGGTTTAAGTTCTGGCATCACCACATGCCAGTCAAGATAAGCCACCTAAACTTGTTGACCTGAAGCACTAAAATTAGATTAAAAGCCTTATGACTGACAGTACAGAGAGACCGAAAGGGACCACTTTGTGAATAAAAGCACCTCACAAATGAGACTCGATATATAAAGACAGTATATACTACCTAGGACTGTGACATTTAAATTACACTGCAATGGAAATGTAGAAGCAAGTTAGTAGCAAGAACTAAGCAGTTGTTTACATAAAACACAGCCATAGACTATCAAACCGTAGCCAAAATAGCAATCCTACTTGTTTGCATAAGCATTAAAAGACAACAGGGGCTTGAGAGATGGCTCAGCGTTAAGAGTACTCACTGTTATTGAGCAAGACCTGAGTTTGTTCCCAGCACCCAGGTGGTTTCTTACGACTGTCCATAACTCCAGGTACAGGGGCTATAACGCTCTGTTCTGGCCTTCATGGGCACTAGGCATGTATATGATGCACAGAGATATATGCAAACACACAGGAAATAAATAAAAAAACATGAAAGAAACACAAAAAAATTTGCATGCAAAAATCATGGCTTCCAGAGACGTACCTTACCGAAGGATATGCACAGTATAGTAGTTACAAGTACAGATTCTGATGTGAGACTGTGCAACTGTGGATCCTGGTTCTACCATGAAGACATTATCTAGTCCAAATAATTTGTGTCTCAATTTCTTCATCTGCAAAACAAGGGTAAAATGGTAGGAAGCTTCTGGGTTTCCAGGCTGCTTTAGATGGGGACTGGAAGCTTTAGCAGTAGTGCTAGCGTTTCTGAGATCCTTGGATTAAACAGATTCATAAAGATTAACAAGCAGTAAAATGAAGCATGCTGCCAATAAAAGGAATAAAGTAGGCTATGGATACTTACCCAGCTTTACCTTTTCTAGCAGTGAAACCTGGGGCTTCAATTGTTTCAACTACAAGGAAAACAACATCAGTCTTTAAGATTATTGTGAGAATTAAATAATACCATTAAAGCACCAGCACCACGTCTGGTGAAAAATCTGTACCACGATTTATCACAACCATTATTTATCCTTATTATACTTTGGGCATTATTGACTTAAATTTTTTTCAAGAGTTAGCTGAATCACTCGGAAAGCATTGCCCAGGCAGAATTTCATTTTTATCTTGCTTTGTAGTCCCGGCTAGCTTCTACCTCTCAATCCTCCTGCCTCAACCTCCAGAGCATAGGGATTACAGGTGTATACTGACACACCCAGCTCTTAGGCTGGGCCTTTTATCTTTTTATCTCAGAAGGACCAGCAAAGCACATAGTGCCAAAAATGTTTGCTGAATTAATAAAGTCACAAAACTTTAAAGGAACTTAATATATCTTTTGGAACCCACTCCAAGTTGCAGACCCACAATCTATGAGGATATGTAAGTATCTACACTGTACAAAAATAAATGTGGCAATCTTAATTTTCAGTTCTCTGCTTACATGAGTAATATATGCATCCCTTTTATTTTTAAGATTTATTTATTATGTGTACAACATTCTGCCTCCATGTATTCCTGTATGCCAGAAGAGGGCACAAAATCTCATTATAGATGGCTGTAAGCCACCATGTTGTTGCTGGGAATTGAACTCAGTACCTCTGGAAGAGCAAGTGCTCTTAACCTCTGGGTCATCTCTCCACCCCCGAATCCCTTTTCTTAGCACATAATTTGGAAAGGGGGGTTATAATTTGTTGGACCCTCAGCCGACATTTAGGATCCTGGAATGTAGATGAGTTCTTGCCTAGTGTGTGAGGGCCTAAGTTTGATGCCCAGCACTTAGAAGAAAAAATAAAAGCAAGAAAACAGTCTAAAGTAGAATTCAAGACAAAAACCCCTTGTATGCTGTTTTCTGGTTTAAACTTCCAGAAAATTTTAATTAAAATTTCTTTTCTGTTTTTGGTGGTGGGGATGAGGGCAATGTATTCTACCACTGAACTAAAGCCCCAGTCCTTAGTTAAAATTTCAATAATGTTGTCTCCATAAAATTCCTAAAATTGTGTATATTTCAAATATGATTCTCATGCATTTGTGTTTATAGTTGATTTAAATAATTTAGGTGTGAATTTTTTTCTTGTTGACACACTGAATCTTTCAAGGGGAAAACTATTGTGAATTCTAGTTCTCTAGATTCTCTAATCTATGACACTGTTTCCTTTAGGGTCTGAATGAAAGTATGAAAGGTAAAGCATTGATGAGTAGTCTTTAATAAAGCATATGGTCTCTCAGAACAGCTGGTGCATTCATCTTATTCTGGAAAAACGTATAAACACATGAAAAACTATGACCAAAAGAAAAATCTGAAGCTCAAAATTGTCCTCTAACCATATGCTAAAACTGTTTAAGGCACAAGGAATTATTTACCCCAAATTAAAATTTCTGTTGTTCAACACATACTTTTAAAGAGCATAACTTATTTCCTTATTTTGGCTTATTTACATGCATAAACATGGCAATCTAAGTCACTTTCTCAGTCCACGACAAGCATTTGTTTTTCATGTTTCAATGAAAAGGGGGCTCTTGATTTTTTTTTCCCCCTCCTAGACAGAAGGAAGGGGGACACTGGAACAGGTGGAAGGCCTCTGGCACAACAGAGGGAGGCTGTTAACACTGACTCATCCCAAACTAGAAGAACAGATTTCCTGACCCTGGTCCAGAACTGAGAACCGAGGCGGTTGGCTCTGACTCTCAAGGACGTAGCATCGCTTCCCACCCGGGGGAGCAGCCCTGCTGACCCCAGGTCCGAGGCTCCCTGCGTGGCGTGGGCTCCGAGTCCGGGCGCGGGTTGGAGAGGGGCAGACAAAGGCGTCGGACAGGAGCCAGGCGGGGACCACAGGGCCG